ATATATATATTCCCATTATTTTTATCAGTATTGCTTAGTCTTGTTGTCAACTGAGTTGCARTGGCTGCTGAAAACAATTTTTCTCTCTTTGTTCCCACTGCCCCTAGCATCCTTTCTTTCATCCTAAAGCCTACAGTTACTATTTAACTTAGCAACTTAGAAAAAATACATAACCTACCACAAAATTTAATTTGTTTGTTGCAGTTTTTTAAAAAACAAAACTTTCCTGGCATTGTCCCATAAAAATATTAACTGGAGGTTTAAAGGACAAGAAATGAATCTCCATTGCCTCTGTGCAGTATTCCTAATTGAGATAATCCACCTGTTATGAAAGTGTTGATTAAATATGTAGCTTAAAATATTTCCCCTTTTCATAAGCAGTGTCTCCATATTATTGCTTTCACTCTGCAAGCTTTTCTACAGCTGTTTTAAGTTAAAAATATCATTAATGAAGACAGAAATTATTATATAACATAACTTTTCGAAGGCCTGGGGAATGTATGACATGTTGCTAATCAAAATTTTCCACTGRGGTGCTGTCCACTGCTTTTTATGCTGTGTTGTGTTCTCAAATGACATTGAAACATTGCAGCTGTTTTGGCACACTTTTCTGTACTACYAGGTTGATTTAGAAGTATGACAAAAGCCTGGAAAAGAAAATAAAACCAAAAGCTCTTTGATGCCTTTAGTGACGAACTATCAAAACCAAAGAAAACAACAACAAAAAAAGGGTACTGAAGCTGTGAGGGACTTGCATTTCAATAAAGCAAGAAACACAAAAAATCTTCACATTATTCAGTCTGTGAGAATCAATCAAGATGCTTTTATTAGACCTGTGTGAACTTGACTCTGCTGTGACTCTGGCTCTGTGCATGAGTCTCATTCTTGTGTTACCTTGAAGCAGACCCCAGTATTTGTCCCCCTGAGCTGAGCTGCCTTCCCACCATCCTGCCCCCCAGCACCTGGTGCTAGAGCTGCTTTAGGTGCCATCTGCTGCTGCACAGTGCACACCTGTCAGCACGATACCAGAAATTATAAAAAGTGTGTGTGGTGAATATTCCATCAACATATTCATGACTACCTGAAGATGCATAGTTGGTTGTGTTCAGTGAAAATAATTTGTTCTAAATGTTTTAAAGTAAATATATCCAATTACTTTTGCAWTTCTTTCTTCCTAATAAAAAAATTCCTCTAGAAAAGCAGTCTGTTGGTGACACTTYGGTAGAGAAAAGGTTTGTAATAATATTACAAAGAATATTGTATTGAGATATGTAGATAYTGAAATATTAAGGTATTTCCAGCCAATTAAAGGAAGATATTTGTTCTTCTAAAGTTTCTTTCAGATGCAGAATGATGTTGTCAGAATCATTGTGTTTTACAGAAACAGAMATTTGAATTTGACCTCTATAATGATACATTCGAAATAATGGCATAATAAAAGTTACTCTAATTTCAATAGTGTGTATAYTCTGTTGGGCTCTGTAGGGGAATAACATTAATCTCTACAGAGAATGTTTCATATCTACCTTCATTTTACCAGAGAAAAAAAAAAAAAAAACAAACTGGTGCTCTGGTGCTCTAATTTCATGAAATTGAAAGTACTGCATATCGTCAGAAATTTGAATATGTTTCCAGCTGCACTAGGTGCACTCTAGGTGCACTCCAAAAGTTCTCYGTGTCCTTATATGTGTTTCATGCCCCTTGTACAACAGATCAAATACATTATTCAAAGCTAAGTGACCTACATGTCTGTTCAGATTCATTGCTTGCTGTTTCTTCCACTTTCAGTTGAAAAGCTGAAGGACATCCCTGCCTCACTAGAGCATGCAGTGAACCCAAGTGGTTGTTTTTAAAAGCTGTTTACCTGTCTATGTGTGACCACATGGAGAAGGTGGTCTATGCCATTCAGCCACTTTAAATGAGCACTGTATTGTTAAGAAAGCACTGGTGAGAAAGCTGCATCAATTTTTGCAGCCACACATCTTTTTGCTTTAGGATATCAGCAATGTAGTTGGGTTGTCACGGTCCCTGGATGAATTATTCAAGCTCTTGACATCAGAGATTTCTGCTCACGGATTGGCTGGTGCTAGGATAATAAAATCTTTCCACAGAAAAACAGTGGAGAAGGATGATGGCAGTGAGGCCAGCAGAACTGCTGTTTCCAATACAGCTGGTTTGCATCTCTGCAGGAAAATATAAGGATGTTTTTAAGGTTTGGCTTTGTGTGAATTTTTTGATAAGAGATGGTGGAGGGATTTGTGTAAGAGACCTGCATTTCCAGTGAGGGGAAGAGATTGGATCATTGTGGAAAAATTACTTCTGGCTGTATTCTGAAGAAACGCTGTACATGGGAGAGGGGTGGAAGCCGCAGCAGCATCCACAGCAGCAGCAGCAGTGCCTATGGCTCGCTATAAAGGTGCAGGTGTCAGAAATGTTCCCTCATTGAATGTGCTGCCCGAGTTCTTCCAGTGCCAGCAGGGTAAGTGGAGTATGGATCTGACAGTCCTTGCAAGTGGGGAGAGCGTGAGGAGCTGTGTGACACACGTCATGTGGATATGGATAAACAGTACCTCTGCAGAGAATGTAATCAATGAAAATAACACAGTTGCTTYCAGGGAAATTTGTAAAAAGTCTATTTACAATGTAATTTTTAAAATCAATGCACTACTTGTGTTATGTTCAGACATGGATTTTACAGTGGTAAAATCTGTTTATTTTAAGCCTATTCAGAATAAATGCTAAAACCAAGAAAACTTTATTATTAGTAGTTCCAACTGGGCTCATAAAGAATATATTGCTCACATAAATTCCCTTGAAACAGGTTGTTTAGAAAGGCTATTTCAGCTCTTTGTTGGTATGACTGAAACTGTGTACTACCTGTGCTGGTAAAGTGTCTCTTTAGAAGCTGGAAGCTGGTTCTCTGATTTCCAGTTCTTTTCAGAAAGTTTTTTCTTAAATCACCAAGATGCACTGGAACTACAAACTATTGAATCATTTTCACTCATTTCTTTGATGAGAAGTTTGATTTCTGAAGGCCTGGTTTATTTCTTTTGGCATGCCCTTGTTGTTCAGGCTTGTTTTTGCAAGTTACAGAGGTGTGAATGAAGGCAGAACTGGACTGATTTTGTGTGTGCCTGATCTCTATCCCTACACCCACACACAACGCAATAAAAGTGTGCAAGTGCTTCCATGGAAGTTAATTTGGATGTCTAGATATGGAATTGCAGAGCACAGCTGACATTTAGTGTATGTCAAAAAGAAGGCAGCTTGTTCATGGATAGGAACCATGCAGTGAGAACTCTGTTTTTCAGAATATAGAAGCTATTGTCACATACAAAGTCAAGACACCTCCCTGCCAAAAATGGTCCCTATAGAATGAAGCATAATGCAGTGTCTTACTGATATTTTTCATGACTTGCCCATGAGTGCAACAAGTGGATTCTGAGAATGTAATAAATTTTAAAAACTTGTGTTTTACTGCCTGCACAATGATCTCAAAGGAAAATAAAGAATGCACAGTTATTTTCTTAGGCATAGAGTGTGACAGTCTAGCAATAGATTCTGGAGAGTGTGGGTGTCTTTTTCTCCTCTGGTATTACTGATATGTGAGATAGTGTTTACATATAAAGAAAATACCCCTGAATTACAATGCACAGACACTTTTTATGGGAGCTTGTACCTGGTCAAGGAGCTAGCACTGTCTCACTGAAGATAACATTTTGACCTATGAATTTTGTGTGGTGATTTCTATCTTTATGTACCCTCATTGTGATGCAACCCTGCATGAGTGTAAATCAGGGAGCTAAGMTCCTGATGTTTTGTATGCTTGTTAGTAATGCAACAGGCTTAATAGTTTYCTATTCCAGAGCTTTAATGGGTGTTACAGAATATACAATTTTAATTTTACAGATGTGGAATAGGAAAAACGYTATTCAGTCCTGCACAAGTCACCAAATGCAGTAGCTACAATTAGATGCTCCATCTGTAGGCTTTGGGATATGCACACGTTCTTATGAAAAGTGAATATTTAACAGCGCTTGTATTTATTTGAATTTTCTKTTGTGAAATGAAGGGGCTCATTCAGAATTGATGATGGTAATAGCATGATTTGGTTTTCCATTAAATAGATATTTTTTTCCTATTTTTGAAAGAAAAATCTCCCTCATGAATATTTGAATACCTCTGTTGTGACATTATTCCATGTGTCAAAACTGATTACCCACAAGGAAGGGGCAGGACTTTGTGGGTTGGTTATAGTGCTGTGATTCTCCTCCCTCCACCGCTGTGACCCTTGYTGCTGAAGCTGGAGGAGCTMATTTGGGAGCTATTTTTATCTGTGCATCTGGCAGCTGTCCCGCAGGGRCACTGTGACAGTCAGGGAAATTCACCATAAATCAGACAAGTGCTTCAAGACAGGACTAAGGGAAGTACTGAGTAGCAGTGTAGAAACTGCCTGAACCAGCTAATGGCTCCTTCCTGGCAGGATCTTCCAGAGGACAAATAAGTTTGATAATGCAATTTCTGATCTTTAATTCAACATTCTAAACATTTTCAAATACACACACCGAGAATATTTTTTTCTAAGTCCCTAACTGACTTTCTGTATAAAAGCAGTTTGACTGTCAGAGRTGTGGATTCTAGTTTAAAAATATGGAGAAGTTCTAGGTGCTCAGAGCTTGGGTAAGTATACTATGAATTTAGAACTCAAATTTATCTTGACATTCACATTTTGAATGGTATCTTTCTGGTTATTGGCTTGTTAAAACTTGAACTTTGCCATGAAACTCTAAATGGTCAAGAATCAGAACATTATTGTAATAATACAAAGTATTTGTTTGGAGTATTTAGAGGCAATATTGACTGTCTCAACAAAATATAGAGCTATTCCTAGCAAATACAGAATGCATTTGTTGTTGTCAATAGGGAATTTTACTCTTCCATCATGTAAATCTGAATGTATCCAGTGATGTCTAATCAAACCAATTTTCTTTTATTCTCAGATGAGCAAGAGTCAGTGCAGAAACGGACTTTCACAAAATGGATCAATACTCATCTGGCAAAGGTAACACATGGCTTTGAAATTTATTTWAAAAAAGTCAAACCTTTTAATCTATGCCTACACAGCCCTGGAGTATAGAATATGTTAAATTTCTCTGGGCAGTATTTCATAAATTTAAAAAAACATCCTCATCATCTGCACACAGTTGAAGATGAATCTCATCATGGTGGTGGTCAGCTGCACAAGTGTGAGTGGTGTCCAGAGGCAGCCACYCAGCTTCTTTGGCCAGAGCTGAAAGGTGTTCTTTCAGCCAGAGGAAACATCTGAAACTGCTTTTTATGAAATATAAATAGTGGACTTATTGCACACAATATATTAGTATAAAACTTAAATCGTGTCTTGTCTAGTTTGATAGAGGCATACTGAACTGGTTACAGACATAAATAGTGCTTCATGAATTYTGTGCTGAATTAATTATCTGATTCATTGTGAGATTTGTCATGAAACAACTGTTGCTTCTTCTTAATGCAACTTAAAACTCCTGGTTCAGCCTTTAAAATAGTAAAGACTTATTTACACAGTTTTAAAAGTGTTAAGCTACAATTGGTACCAACTTTACCTGAAAACATAAGCAGTGAGATTTAATTTGGCATTTCCTGACATTTTCACACAACACATCTCTAACCATAGTTATCAATTAGTCCAATAAATTAAAATTTTAAACTCCAGCACAGCTTCTTGAAATGCATGTTTTTAAGCCTGAAGATTAATACTCATTAAAATTGAGTAAAGAATATCTKTAACAGCACTGTTTTAGCTTTTGTGTAAGGGATTGGCTAATAATTCCCTCAAAAATGAGCTTAGCAAAGCAGGAAGCCCAAATAATGCTGTATCATGATTTGATCTGTTGAGGCAGTATGGTAGWGGAACAGCATTTATTTACATTGCTGAGGAATGTAATTGAAGAACTTACTATGAAATTAACTATACTGGCATTATAAAATTCAACTGCAAGGACAAAGTTATCTTTGGGACTTCTTGTCAGTGGATTCTCACTGGAAGTGAGGTCTGTCCCCCCATTGTCTTTGAAATAATTTGGAAAAACCCCTCATGCAAGAGAGAATTTAAGTGCTCTGAGTTCCGTTTACATCAACTCACATTGAAAGGCATKCAGTGTTTCCTAAAGCATTACCTAAGTGAGCTGTGAATGAGTGTCTAGGGAGAAAAAAACCTCTTATTTCACATTCATTTATTTCTTAATTGTGTAGTGTCATTAATAATAATCTGATAATTATACACAAGTAGGACTATTAGGTATTTTATCGATATCATACTGTTAGGTATTATGAGTGTGTGTGGGCATGTCATGATAATTTCCAAGTCTACAGACTAACCTTGGGAAGAGACAAAGTCAGGGTGGCAGCTCCATTAAGAGATCTTGCCCTGGATTGGGATTTGTGAATGTTTCCTGCTGTGCTGGTCCCTTTGGGCCATGAGGCCTCAGGTGAACCTTTTGCCTTGCATGATCTGGGTGTGGAGTTCAYTACGGGGTCTGATAGTGTAAAGCTGATCAAACACATTCAGACTAGGCATTTACACAGCCACAGCCCTGACTTTTAGCTGCCTGAGGTATCTTTTAATTACTTGTAGTAACTGGTTTGTGTTAATTCACACTTTAGCAGGAAAGGTGTTGCTGTGATACTTTTATTGATGGCTGTCAGCCCATTTGCCTCACTGCCTATGTCAGATCATCTGGCTTTGCTTCCCATTCCTGCTGTTACAGGAAACAGAGTCAAAGGAGAAGAAAGCACTCTTTGTAGAAACTCGGCTCAACAGGTGTGATGCATGCCACTCAAATTCTAAAGTTTTTAAAGCTTAAGCGTTTAAATCTTTGTTAGTTATGTTTTTGGAAACTGTGGAAATATGTTTTCTGAGTTAATCACACCTGTAGGAAATACAGGTGGGTCTTTGAAGTGCCCGGGACTACCCTTGCACTCATATTCTTCTRGCTTGTAACCCAGAAATTCAATATTTAGGCTATTTGATTTTTGTAAAAGGTTGTTGTAGCTTTGATTGTTTCAAGAGAAACCAGAGATCTGTAAAATCTCCATTGGCTGGAAGCCTTTGAAATGTGATAGGGAAAAATCCTGGAAGGAAACCCACTTTTGGGAAGCATTATCTGCATTCTGCTCTCATCTTTGACCCAATAAAATGTGGAGCATCTACTACCAGTCTGGTACCTAGAGAGGAGCACGGTGAAGTGCTGGCCTCAAACTTACAGCAGGGAAATAGCAATCCATGCTGCACCAGTGTGGGGTAAAGGAGCTGGGAATGAAGGAGGGAAGCTGAGCCAGGGGAAATGGGGGATAGCTAGGGGGAAGATGTTGTGAATTTTGTCTTTCTCCCCACAGATCTGAATTTAACTCAGTATATACATGCAAAATTAAGAGCAACCTCAGTTCAARTTTTCTTTCTATCTCTTGGCTAATCTTGGAAAACTTTGGATTTCTTTCCTTTCATTGCTGTTTTTTATAATCTTGTAAAATTTTTAATGTAAAAAACTAATAGGAAATAAGAGTAAACTGAAAACTTTAAGATATCTTAACTCTTAGCACCATGACTATTTAAAGAAATGTCTCATAAACGAGTTCAAGGGTTTTTGAAAAAAAAAAGCACTGCACAAAACCTCAAAACCAGGAGGAATTAAAGTTTTCTAAGCAAAGATTGATGGGGTTTCACTGTAGCAATTTGAAAGATGGTTGTACAGGTTCAAAGGAAAGGAAACTCTCCTAAAGTAGAGTTGTCATCCTTATACTGTGTTGGTTGAGTAGAGCAAAAAGGATTTAAAAAGAAGCAGTTTCTGACATTGTGAGGAGTAGAGATTTGAAAGAAATGGAAATACACAAGTGATTTGATTATTTTAGGTAGAACAAAGAGCAATTAGTAGCTTGGGAACATAAGCAGGATGTGATTGTCARGGGTTTGCTATGAGTAAAAAATTCTCCCCTGCTAATTGTTAAGATCTTTGTACATGTTTTTCATCTAAAAAGTCATGCTCTAATTGAAACAGAATCTAACTCAGTATCTAAGGCTATCAAGTACTTTAAAACTATTTTTTTTTGCATTTTAACTGTAAAGTTGAGAATGGTGTTGAGAATATGGATACAAATAAATAAGAATGAGCAAAGCAGGTAAATGAAATGAGACTACTGCTGAAATTTCTTCACCAAAAAGGTTGTCATGCACTGGAATTGGCTGCCTATGAAAGTGAGTGTCATCACCCCGGGAGGTATTTAAAAGAGATGCAGATGTGRCACTTAGGGACACAACTTAGTGGTGGACATGTCAGTGTTAGGTTAATGGTTTGACTTGATTTTAAAGCTGTTTTCCAACGAAAATGATTTTATGATTCCATGCATTGAAATTTATGAAAGGCAGTAGGAGAAAGGTGTGAATTTTTTATTTTCTCTTGCTGTTATGATAGAGTGCTACCTTTTTATAATTATGTTTCCTATTTCAAATGTATGTTCTTTCACAAGCAGAAGTCAAGTAAAGGACTTGGCATCAGCTAGTTATGGGACAACTCAAAGAAAGATGGAGATAAAACAGCATTAGTGGGAGCTGTGCCTTCAGAGAGGGGACGAACAGAGAGGAAAGACCCGCGAGTATGAAAACCAGGGAATGTAATTCAGCTTCATTTTGGGTGAGCTGTTAGCACGAGGCTGCATCTGTCCCTCTGCTGCCTCCCTAAACCCAGCTGTCTCTGTTCTGTCATYCTCAGTAGTAATCTGGTGAGGCTCMTCAATTGGAAATCATATGTTTTCTCTGCCAACCACTTGCAGAAATTGGGTCACAATCTATGAAATGAATGTGATCTATCTTCTGGCCATCCTCTTGAATTTTTGTGCACCTGTGCAGTTCTAATGATAAATCAGATATGCATGTGTAAAAGGACAAGAAGTTTTCTAATTTCATATAATTTATTCATATTCTTCTATGACTGTAGAACTGTCCTTCCTCCTCTCAGTCTCAGCTTCAAAGGACAGGCATCATTTTGAGTATGCTTCTGATTATTTTTGAGGCATCTTTTCAAAGTCTAAGTTTAAAATGCAGGACAAATTTACACCAAATATTTCAAAAAGGAGACATTACTTGCATTCAGAACAGCAATTACTTAAATGTTTTTCATTCCATTGCCAATGCGAATTTTTGAGATAGTGGATTAGATGAGTAAAGAAGATGACATTTGTTGCCTTTTTTATCTTCCATGAAAGTTTGGGAGAATGGTAGTTTGAAAGCTTTGAAACACAGACTGTAAATTGGTTTAACACAAATAACGTTTTTGTTCCCAGCCAYAGAAATRATTTTGGTATTGTACTCACCAAAGWATTGTTGTAAACTCACTAATAGAGTGAACAACAAATACTTACTGAAAGAATTTACAATTAATTTTGTATTTCCATTAAGAGGATGAACACATTAAAAAACAAAAGCAGAGGATGGATATCAATTAAAAATAAAACTTAATAATGGATGAGCATTTTTTATTTTAATTGTGCAATATTTATATAATGCTGAATTAAACCTGGGCATTAAACCTCATCTTAAAGCTTTTGAAATTGCAAAATCATATCTTTTATAGYAAAAATAGGAAGAAAAAGCAACAGATAGATCAAGACACAGARCTCTCACACACAGTGCTGTCCATGATATTAGCTTGTTCTTGCAATGTTCTTGGTCTTTCATGAACCTCCTCARTTTTCACCTTTTTGAGTCTGATCCTTTCGGTCTTTTTCAAACCTGAAAACAGAGGCTCCCAGTTACTTGACACTGGCAGAGAAGGAAACAGGCCAATGTCCATCTTGACTGCATGATGAGAMAAATCTGACTGGCASTTTTCTGTTTCAAYAGTTACTGYATRTTTTCAGCTAGTACTGCATKTAACTTSTAATSTTRAACAGTGAATGCTRATGTAATTYRTGTGATGAAATTAATCATGTAAAAYTTAGGACTGAGTCCCTCAGATTAAAGGAATAAAAGAAGTCACTAATAGCAAGGAATATCAAAACTTGTATGCTTATGGATTTAGGAATTGTGGCAGGGGAGCGGTCCAGCTGTTACAGAGTAATGGAAATTTCACATTGTCCTTGTTGTCTTCACATATATTCCCCCGCAGAGTCAAATTCCTTAGTTTCACAGATTTGTTCCTGTTTGTGCATATGGATAGATTTTTCATACATTTTTTCAACAGTTTTTGAAACATTATTTGAAAATTAATGTTGCAAAAATAGTTTTCAATGTCTGCATTGGCATTCATTATGATGCAGATGCTGTTATTCATATAGTATGATTTGTTCATTAGAGAAGTTAAGTACAGGGTGTTAGGAAAAGACTCCAGTAGCAAAGATGCAAATGAAAAATTAAGTGCATGAAAAAGCATTGTAATAAAAGAGTAAATCTTAGCAAATATATGTTTGTTCCATTTCGGAAGTCTGGATTTTACAAAACTTGTGTTACTGTGTGAGGGAAGGAATGTCTACAGATTGCAGGTCTATTAAAAATCTTCTGTTGAGGCTTGTCAGTGAAATATTTTTTATATGTTCCAATGTTGAGTCCTTTAAGTCTTTCAGAATATTTCCTGAAGACTACAGCAAATTGGGCAAGTTGTAAGAGCAACAAGTTTATGAAAAGCATTTCTTCCACAGTTCAGTCATGATCAGTTCTAAATGCAGTTGTTTAAATAACATTTAAAAGGTAAAAATCTAGTTTTTTCACCTTCAAGATATTAACCTTTAAGGTTTGTTCTCAATTAATTCATATTCCTCCTACTGATCACATGAATTTACTTGTATTGAGCGTGACTCCCTGCTTGGGACATGATTGTTCCTAAGTATCATTGCCAGTATAAACTACACTACTTTAATTTGATATACTGCAATAAATGAGTGTTTAATAGAATTCATGCAACGTATGTAGCAGATCATTTATCTTATTTTGCCAATTTTCTTTCTTGAAAAAGCTTGCAAAAAAAAGCAAAATTAAATACTGAGGCATCTGAAAATAAAGTGTGGACCACCTGACAAGTGTACATTTAGTGTCTCATTGGTCATTGAAGTATATTCTGAGTTCTGCCTCAGAATTTTCTTCAAGTTTATAACTGACAGCTTTTCTTTAGTATTCCAGATAATTATTCACACAGGCTTTTCAGCATTCAAAATACAGTGTATTAGGATCATTGCAACTGATTGCATTACTAGGATTATACACCTACACTCAAAAAGACAAAATCTGGAATACAGTCAACATTTTAAAATCACAAAAATTTAAGTTAGTTTTCTTTCCCTCTTTTTATTGATTTGCAGTTAGTATTTTGGCAGTTCATTAAGGCAACTAAATGAATAGTTGTTAAACTAAACTAAAAATAGTTGTTTTATTCTAGTCCCTAGAATAAAAAGTATTCAATATATTCTAACTGAACACAGCTTAAAAAAAGAGATAAAACTTTTCTTCTCTGAAGGCGGATTAAGTAAGCAGTGTTCTTCATCTTTCACTTTTTTTGACATTATATATGCATCCGAGTAGGTATTTACCMATTCCAGCAAAATATGTGTTAATATCAGTGGAGGATCTCCTAGAAAAACATTTATATAGCTTAAGCCATCCTATGTARTGGTCCATATAAAATAAAAAAGCATGTGTGAACTTCTCAGTATCAGCAAGTGTGTGTATGAGCATGGGGAATAACATTGATAGCTATGTTTGTGTAAAAGAGGAGTCTATTTTTCTACATATGCCACTCATTCCATATTTCTGAGGGTGACTGAAATAATAATAATAGGGTAAATTCTATGCTTATGTACCCAAAATAACTTAAAAAAAAAGAAAAAAAAAGGTGATTTAGGAAGCATGATGACAGTGTAAYCTCCTTGTAATTAGATGTTAACATCTTCAGTGTAGTGAAAAACATTATATTATGAAGTGTATTGCTGAGAATATGTTTGGCAGTCTATATTATTAACTAATTTTCCATATTAGAGGGTGTTTATACTGGAGATCTTGTGGCACAGGTGTTGCATCTGCCTTCTGTTCCTGGTTTTRTTGGTTGTAAGATCCACAGTGTGTGGTGCTAAACACTGGCAGTGTTTGTAATTATGCAGCCTTCCAGCAACTAAAAGTACATTTCAGCCTGCTGAGTTAAGGACAGTTGTTGGCATTCTCACACTTCAGAGCAGCAGCTCTCCCCAGCTTTGGTGCTTGATGGTTTCTTTGCTGCTTCTCATGTAATTCATTGCTACTCTACACCTGTTTTTTTCCCCAAACCAATGTTCAGTTCAAGTAGAAAGTACTGTAGGTGTTAATTTGCTTGGTGGTATATCCAGAGATACTTTCAGTGCCTTACCATAGCACCAAGCCTCAGCTGGGRTGTAAATCTTGTTTTTGTAGCTTCTGTGAGTAGCACTGGAGGGTGATTCAGAGCAAGAGTTTGGCTTGGCTGGTCAGAGGTGTTAACTGCAGTGTGAAGCTTTACACTGGGAAAAACAGAAATGCTTCCCAGACTTGCTTTGCAGATGAATTCCAGATGACTTTTGGCTTCATCCTGGGGTGAGACAGTGACCCTCTATTTCAATTTGTGAGTAAGGATACACAGCACAMAAGCTAGAAAGGAGCTGTGTTGTGCTYAAACAGGTTGGCTGACAAGCACRTTAWGGKAACAGGAATTACTGAGTACTGTAAMTYWYACYCTTCAATCTAAGTGTAYCCTAAATTGCTCACTRCRAGAAACCCATCTCTCTTCATTGCTGTAGAGTCAATTTCAAGAAACAAACCTTCCTACTGGGGCATTTGGGTAGGTGGGGAGATTTTTAGGCCTTTACCTCCTGTTGGATTTGGATGGCAGCTGCTATAATCCTCTTTTCTTTATTGCTGATTTACTTTAGCACATAATTCTTCAGTGTTTTTTCATGTGGTAATACTGATAAAACCAAAGCTGCTCCAAGTGTCAAAGTATCAAAGGAAATGATAACACAGAAGGTGAGGAAAATTAAGTGCATTTATGTCAACTGCSTGTGATGCAAGACTGGGAGAAATTAATCTCCAGTGACCTGCTTGCTCCATTGATTTCTTTGGTGYTATATTAAGGAAGAACATGATTCAAGGAAGAACAATATCTATTTCACTTCTATGAAATAAAATAGAACTGTGACTAAATATACCCTCATAATGAATTGTAGTGCTGCTTTATTTTATATACATGAGAAAATGGGCTGTTCTATGAGTGTGACTATTAGAGCATGTCAAATCTCAGATGAAGTCTGCTTCCAACAGAGTTCTTTTTTCACTTTATGCCAAAATTATATTTCATTGAAATACTAGTTTATCCAAGTTGAACATTTTTTTTTATTTGGGGAGCCAGAATATTTTGCTTTCTCCTGATTTGTTATTGCATTTTTACCTTTTCAAGAACAGTGTTTCATTTGTTAGGTTCATCTTTTCAAATCTCTATTTATACACAAAAAATAGATAAGTTGTTGTACAAGTACTTTTTTTTAACAAGTACTTTTTTTTAACAAGTACCGCAAAAGTAAATTATTAAAGTACTTTCAAGAATTGTATAGTCTCATTTTAATTTTAGTGAATTAGGCATTATCATTATCATCATTATGATCATTATATGAATTCTCACAAGCTGATAGAAGCAGAAGGATGCTTATTCTATTTGTCAGCTGGACCAAGTTTAAACCTTGTTTCTGAGAGACATTTTGTGATCACTTATTTACCGACCAGATGAGAGCTGGTAGTTGCACAATCTGGGGTGCATTCAAAAATACAGAGTTTTGTMGTGTGACTTAGTTATTTAAAATTTGTAAAAGATCATGTTTAAATATTTTTGAGTATTATMATTTTTGTGAATGTAAAGACATTTGATAAGCAATTTGTCCTAAGCAGGAGCTGACAGAGTGCTGACAGCACCGGAAGCCTGCAAGGCTGGAGGAGAAAAAATTCAGCAGCTCAGTGTAACAACTGTCAGCTGTGAGAAAGTGGCAGCATCTCTCAAGCAGCTACACCACTCCAGGGATCTTCCCTTCATACAGCTCCTCCTATTGCTCAGACTGAGAGAGTGAAATTTCTGTGAAATATTAACACTAGGAAAAATAATCTGATGGATTGAAAAGTGACTATAATAGTACATCCATAAATTCTGCTTTTTTATAGACTCAGAGGCAGYTGTTGGTGTGGCAGAAATCCGCAGTGTTGCAGTCTGTGCCAGAAATGTTAATTAGTTAAACAGTGTGGTGGCAAAGCAGTGGTTAAAGGATATATTGATATTAAACAGTTTAAAACACAAAGAAGGGGACCATCCACTCTGTTTCTGTTCAAAGAGAAGGGAGTTAGGATGTTGTACTGGTGACCCTTTATAATRTCTGATGCTTTTTCTCTTTTCAGCGCAATCCTCCCATGCTGGTGAATGACCTGTTTGAAGATATCAAAGATGGGGTGATGCTAATTGCCCTTTTGGAGGTTCTTTCAGGGCAGAAGCTGGTAAGAACTTTCTTCTTTCTAAATATACAAGACAGTTGCATATCTTCCGTGGGATACAATTGTCTCGTAAGTTTCTGTATTTCAATACTSTAAAAAAACTTACTCCTACATAGGAAAATAAGTTTTTCACTGAGTGGATTATCTGATTAAAAAGCGCTATTACGGATTAGTACATGCATGCTTGATAGTATGCATTCTGTATTRATTTTGCCATAGTAGTTCATAACAATTCCTTATTTATATATTAGTCTTCTGGGTTTTGTTCTGTGTTAGCTCATCTGGGTTTTGCTGGTATAGTACAACCAAGGTCTAAACTGCAAGTAAGTTCTATACATCTTAAAAAAAAATTAGTCTTTTCTTGTTAAAATTATGGCTTTCTTTCAAAAAAACCCTATACAAGCTCCTCAAATTTAATGGGGCTTTATATCCATTTGCCTTGACAGCTGCTCTGCTGCTGTAAAGAGCCTYCAGTGATGCCAAATAGCTTTATCAYAGCCAAGTTATGTACTGAGGGGACAGTGTGCACGACAAATAGGCTTTCTCTTGGAAGGCAGGCTAGTTTGTGCATATGATGTAGGACAAAAATGAAAGAATTTTGGGCCAAGGGCTCTGACTTTTCCCAAACCAGCTCGAAGATCAGGTGGCAGCATCTGAAGGAGCAGTGCAACAGTCTGTCATTCAGCTTGCTCCAGGGCTCAGGTGTTACAAGGTCCCTCACACACAGGCAGTTTGCAAGTGTTCTCCTTTTCATATTTCACCTCTGTTTTGATTGCAGGTGAACCCCAAAATCAGGTAGCAAGTCAAACTGCAAAAGCAGATTTTACTGTAAAATGGGATAAAGCTGTACTTCGTTATGTGTTTCCGCTCCACTGAAATATAKCCGTTTCAGTTTCTGTTAGTCTGAGACAGAAAGCCTCCCTCTTGTGGCAAACCAGARGTAGTAAAACAGGAAAAGAATTTTAATGTCGGCACCTGTTGCAGTGAAATTCACTGGATTGTATCCTGCCTGTAWTAATTAGGGAAAGACAAGAGATATTCCAAAACTGAATAGTGTCTGGTGAACTTAAAGGTTATGAATACCAGTATGTGAAATAATGTAGTAACTGCCAGAGGAATTTCAGAATTTGTAGTAGGCCTTTGTTGAATCCATTTGTAAAGTCATGAAGGGAATTTAAATTATAATAGTTGCACATTTGCATTACAATATAAGATTCTGTGGGGAATTCAATTCAGTTGTACAGTATTAGAAACCTGGCATGTGTTCTTGATTAAATTCAAAGAATTCTGTCTTTTTTAGCCTACATGTCTTAAGTTCAGCAAAACTCACTGCTCAGTGGGAATTTAGCTGGRGTTTTAATTGCCAGTAAGGTATTAGAGAGATGGGATGAAAATTCTTCGTTAAAGTGTCTTCGCTGCACTGATTTTTTGAAACAACAACACATTGACCTATACATTGCAGGGAAAAATATTCTCAAATGCATATAAATATGTATATATATAGACACACATATATATGTGTATGCATGTGTGCAAAAATAGTGGTAGTTATTTTACATAAGGAAATAAGTTCTCTGATTTAATGGTGTTTATGGACTGAAGCCAACAGCTTGCATCCTGAGATTATTGAGATATATGTAACTTCTTTATAATGGAATTATCACACTTTGTCCCCTATACTTGTCAGTCCTCCCTGTCATGTACACGTAAAGATAAAATTCAACACTTTCACTGTTCCAAGGAGCACTTTTACATAGACATTGATAATAATCTGGAATTTCATTTTTTAAAGCAAATTGGCATTAATCTAACTAAAGTTTAATGTGYTCTTTCTCTTTAAGCCTTGTGAGCAGGGACGGCATCTGAAGAGAATCCACTGGGTTGCCAACATTGGCACAGCTCTCAAGTTTCTAGAAGGTAGACGGGTAGGTATGGTAGCACTTAGCCCTGATTTTCCTTTTTGTTTTTCCTTGTTTCCATAAGGATATGATTTGTATCTACCCATCTGTTTTTATTCTCCAAAATTTGGGCCATGTATGCAGTCTTTGGCTTGCCAGGGCCTAAAAGCTGCTGTAAAGTAAAAATTATAAGGTCCAACGCTAATATGTGGCAATGCATAGGGTGAAAAGTGTCTTTTTTTTAAAATTAATAATGAATCACCTTGGATGAGTTCCTTTTTTTTTTTTTATTTTTTTTAATTTTTTGATGTACTCTTTGGCTCCTCATGATCTCTACTTCCCTGTTGCTGTTCTCTGCAAAGAATGAATTTTATTTCAGGAGAGACATTCATTTATAATTAAAAAAATAGATTTTTGGTCTGCATTAGCTTTTACATGCAAAACTCTACTCCCTGGAATTATAGATATGAAAATTAGGGCAATGTGACCCCTTATTAGCTTGCCAGGACTTCAAATTAATTCCTGGATTTATTCTGGCACAGTCAGTGYTGTGGTCATTTTAGAAAAGGAGAAAAATAGTTTATAAATTTAACAAAAKAAGAAAACTTAAAAACTCACTTTGATTTAGGTATGACTATCATATAAAAGCAATGTACTTCTACCCTTTTTCCTGATTTCTCTTTGCACTGTAATGACTCWGATCTGGATTTTTTCATTAGATTATAGGTTTTTTGTTCCACTAATTTCTGCATTTTAGTTCAGATGAACTAAAATTTAGTTCATTTTTCAGTGCAGATGTTGCAACTGATGATTTTTTTCTCCACAACACTGTACACTGGGAGTTGTTGGATTTTGGCAGTCTTTCCTTCATGTTGGCTGACATCTGACCTAATTACATTTATGTTATATGAGAAAAAAACCTTAACAGAAGCCTGTAAGAAATCTAAAAGAAAACTTTATAAAATGGAAAATGTATGACCAAAGCAAAGACAAATATGTTCCTGAGGCAAAATTCATCTTTAGCTCACAATTTCACTTTTTGAGGAAGTACAGTGTGTTAGTACAAACTGTGTCATGTGCAGCCTGAGGGAGGARGCTTAGGTACAGACAGGGCTGTTCCCTGGGGAGACCTCTGCGACCTGAGACAGGGCTGGGTGAAGAGCAGAACACCCACACTCCCCTGGTTTATGGTGTCACCCCGCAATGGGTGACCCAGCTTAGATCCCAGAAATAACATGGCATTGCAGCTGGGAAGCTGACCCTGCCTAGGATCAAGAGAGATTGCCAGAGCACTGCATTTTTCCTTCTGACTCCTCAGTATTTTTATCAGGACTKGTCTTAGTTGTGGTATTAATATCCCATGGAGGGAGTTGGAAATGTGCAGGGTGTCAGTTGTATTGGGGTGGTCGAGAGCAGTGTTCCATAAGCTGAATCCAACCTAAAGGATCCATAGACCCCCTCTGCCACCTTTCTCCTCCAGAGGTGGGGATACTGTTCAGACAATAAATGCCTCTTMAGCAGCTGAATGCCATCCCTGGGCTGTACTCAAAGGATAATAAATGCAGACAGCCCTCCATGGGCTCTCCCATAAATAAACTTTAATCAACTTACTATTTTCACTGTCCAAAGAGACTTCTGCTAATAGTCCTGTTGTACTACAAACTGCCGCTTGCAATTAACAGATACTATTCTGGACAAAATTTCTTTYCTCGTGGTTCTGAAAAGTTTATTTTTAGTTTTGGATCCATTTTATTGGTGTATAAGATAAAGGTAGCTCAATAACTAGACTAGATAGGCTATGCTTCTGTGAACAGTAGCCTGATCAGAAGCTTTGGCTGAGTGCCTGTAAGTCTTTTCATTTGTGATAGATATTAAAATAATCTCMGTTTCTAGAAAAGGAAAAGATTTTGTTGCAATTGGCCCAGCTGAGAGAATGAGGTATATTTGTTTTTTAGGTAGGTAACAGAAGATTTTCCTTATTGACTAGTGGAAAAACAAGTAATGTCAATTTTAGRGTTTTGTCTATTTCCAGGTGGAGAGGATTGAAAATGTAACCTATGGACACTTTCCTGCTTTTTGCAAAGCAGCCTATGCAGATTTAACTCTGAAAAAAAATCAGAGCTCTGGACTACAATGTGTTTGCTCTTGACATTATCTAGTGGGTTTCCAGTTGCTGATTCAGAGAAATTCAGTCTTTCCTTCTGTTTCGTGGAGAGGTCACTTGAAGTCATTCTCTGGCTTTCCTTTAKACTCCTTGTCAAGGTTTTTCCACAACTTTTGTCCTTGAACAAGTTTCAGTAGTGCAGAAGCACTAGCAGTCATTCATATTTTTATCCTGATTGATGTCTGACTCTTAATTTTGCTGAGGAAATAAGTACTAATATATTTGCTAATTTTCCAATGCTGCTTGCTTTATTACATTTCCTTGAGCATTATGTACATGTTAGTTTCTTTATCATATATTCTCTATCACCTCTTTATTTCCTTCTATCTTAGGAGCTTGTTTTAGGGTGATATTTTATTCAGACTATAGATCAGCAACTGAGAATTAATAGTAATAAAATCTGTTCCCCTTGCTGTTGAAGAACTTAATTTGACCTTGGACAATTAGTTTTTTCCCACTCTATTTTTAAAAGAGCTATTGTTAGGCTTGTCTTGCAAWGGAGCCTTAATCAGTGGTTGTGATATCCTTTACAATAAAATTCTTTTTGCAGTAGAACTGTGGCATTCTTTTTTCCCTTTTCTTTGTTTTATGTTCTTTCCACCCCTTTCCTTTTTATATTTTGATTCTTAAATACACTTTTTTCATTACACATGGATTAGAACTATATTGAGAAACCACTGCATWATTTAAAATCTGTTGCAGAATATTTAATTTGCTCAATAACAATTATATTGTTAGGTGCGCCAAAAATGTGCTTTCCTTGTATTATAAATTAGATTAATGCATTTACCTAATAATTATTCATTAAAAATTTGGTTTTGTATCATATTTTTCCTTTTGCTTTTCATGCTAGTCCGTATACAGAGGATCTCCGGTTTGTACAGTGTTTCTATCTAATTTTTAATTTTCTTTCTGCTTGAATTTCTTTTTYTCCTACAAGTAATAGCATGAATTAGTCTTAAAAGTTTTTCATTACTTGGAAAACTTGTCTAAATGTGAAATTGCACTATTCCATGTTTGGGTTTTTTAAACTGATAAACTTGTTTGATTGCAGAAATGCATTTCAAATATAAAACAAATTTGAAATGCATTTCATAATTGTTATTCTTTGTGCAGGATAGTAACACATGTTTTCTTTTCTACCTAGATTAAGCTTGTCAACATAAACTCAACTGATATTGCTGATGGCAGGCCATCTATTGTGCTTGGCTTGGTGTGGACCATAATTTTATATTTTCAGGTATTACATTTTTTGTACTTCAGAATTGCTGGTCAAAGAGAGGTTCAGATCATCACTTTGCACAAACTGGTGTAGTTCAATCTTTCACTGTAGCTAAGTCACTTTGTGATTAGCTGAGGGTCTGATCCAGACTAAAGCCACAGTTGATGGGAGGAGTGCTTCACATGGAGTAAAATTAGATACTTGTCTGTGGAGTAGATTGGTCTTTGCCTAGAATGGAGTTCTTTTGTCACTGAAACATATTCTTCTGCATTCTCTAAGAAATACAGCATAGCAAAAGAGGAAAATAATAAATCATGGATTCTTGTTACAAGTATCTTTAGCAACCACAGTGGTGACTTGCTGTAAGTCTAATTCTGGTGCCCTTGATGTCAGTCAGCCATTATTGTCAAACCATGTATAAACACAGTGATCCTACTCGAAGATGCAGATATTTGCAAGGATAAAATTTAGCTGTTAATGATGYAGATTGAGAAAAGGTTGAATTTGTAGAGGAGAAATCACTTGCATTCTGTTGAAGTTAGGTGGGAGGAAAAAATGGCTTCTGAATCCTGTCCATATGAGTTAACAAAGTGAGTCACTGCTCAACACTTAAAATAACAACTAATTTATTGCTCTTCTCTATGGAGTTCTTTGACTCCCTTGTGATGTAGCTTTCATGTCTCAGGGATGCTGTTCTCCTCAGCACCAACCACTGTGATGGCTCAATAGTTCAGAAGTCGTCAGAATAAAAGTTAGTCAGAATGATATCAACATTTTAATTTATAACTCATTGAAATGAACAGAGAAAATTATGCTTTTCAGACTTACTGAAACTCCAGTTCTCTTCATCATTTTTATTTTGTCATTTTTTTATGTTTTGTTGTCACAGGCAGATTTGTAATTGCAATGTGATTAAAAGCAAAAATGCAGGAGAACTATGGTTCTCATGCTGTCAGACTCATTCTGCGATGTGACAAAACTTKGGATTTTAAGAGGACAGTATAGAAAATCTTGTAACATCCTCTGGATATAGCTTTATCWTGTTAAAGAACCAAATTGTTAGTCAAATTAATGTTGTTAAAAGAATCAAATTAATGATTTTCATTTGATGAAAAGCATAATGCAAATAACTGTCCTAGACCCTCAACAAGCACTATTCATATGCTTTGCCTGCAGTACATGCACTGTTTCTCCACAAGGTACCTCTAAGTAAAAACACAATTGAGTTTATGCCAGAACAGTACAATACAAAGTAAAAAACTATCCAGATGAGATCATTGAGGTCACTACAATTCTTTAAATGAATGAGCCTCCTCTGAATTTAAGGGGCTGTTTTATAAACTGAACTYAAGCTACATGAAAGGCATTTTCTCCAATCTGATGATTATTTGTCATAACGTGACACACTTGCATCTTGTTGTCGCTGCAGGGTGTCAAGTCAATGATTGTTAGATGCCTTCTGATGTTAGATGTATTTGTGAATTTAAAACTATCACCTGGGCACATGCCTTAGCATTTTTAAAGGTCCTTTAATGTGTATTTAAATGAAAAACAGTTAATAATGGCTTCTTCCCAGCTTTATTTTGACAATTGTRTTGGGAAATTATTAAAGAAACTAGAGTGAATTAAGAAAATAATCTACAAAGAGTCCATTGAATTTTTTTACCCTGCAGATTGAAGAGCTTACCAGCAACCTCCCACAGCTRCAGCCCTTGTCTAGCAGTGCTTCCTCTGTGGAAAGTGTTGTCAGTTCAGAAACTGCAAGTCCCCCAAGCAAACGGAAGGTGGTAACCAAGGTCCAAGGAAGTGCCAGGAAGGCTTTGTTAAAATGGCTGCAGTACACAGCAGCAAAGTAAGTAACCTACAAATGAACTGATTTTATATTTTAAGGTCAAACTTTTTTCTTACATTCTAAGCTCTCTCATCCAAGGATCATCTTTTTGCTCTGTATTTACCAAGTACCTTCTTATATATATAATTATGTAGCCCCTCACCATATACTTTTTGATAACTGAGGCTGCTAAATGTTACCACTATGCAACAATCAAGTAATAAGTAATGATTTGCATTAATTCCGCACGCCGTCATATTCTGTAGTTTCTGACTAATGAATGGGATTATMTCTGACAGAATGAGGAGCTGAAAGGGGAATTAGATGTCTGAATGACAGTGCATTAGTCCCACTGCCAAAACACTCGATGTGACACTGCCAGYACCAAAGTGATTAAGCATTCCTCAGTGAGAGCTTGTAGGAACACTAAATTCTGGCACTTGCTGTTGAAAGGCAAGTGATGAAAAGTTATGTATATCCTTCTGCAGTTTTTTTAAAACAATGGAAGTATTATTACAAAAGTTGCCCTGAATCTTCATTTTCTTAATCCAAGTTATTTTACACTTATTTCTTGCCATGGTTAGTTAACTGAAGAACTTCTTCTTTTTTCCATGAGATTATCCCATGCTGTTTCAGCTTCCAAAAAGGCATTAAACTCCCCCAATAATTAGAACAAAGATACTATAGTAATTTGGTAGCTTCCACAATAAGAAAATACAAATTATAGGTGTAAAATGACATGGATTTATTTGCTCAAATTTAAGAATCACTGGTATTTGAAGACATAAATTGTGCAAATTATAGAAGGGAAGTGGTCTGTTATGGAATGATGCCTGAGAGAAAAGAAATCTATTTGTATAGACTTTATCCATAGGCAGAATACAGTAATTTGGCTACTGTTGCTGGTAAAATAACATCAATGGACGGTGGTCAGTTGCTATTTCCAGACATGCAAACAAACAAAATACAGAAAGATTCATACACTAAACTTTCAGTTTTATTGGGAAGAGKAGATAAAGTGTGTTGAAAGAAGCCTGGTGATACCTGGTGCTACTCTTTACTTAGGCCTGCTTCACACTGCCATTTGCAAGGGCTGCTTTCTTAAAGTCAGTGCAAGTGTTTCATTGATCACTATGTGCTCTGAATGAAGCTTCTACTACTTCTATTGTTTAAGCAACAACTACTGTTGCTTAAACCTCCCAATGGCCAAGACTACWTTAGTGTCTAAGCCTGTCCTGAAAGGATGCTTGCTTGCACAGAGTTAAAAGAGTCAAAGTTAAAAAGAGTCTTGCTCTCCGTGGAGCACCATCCCTTTCAGAACTACTGGTAAAAGAGGCAGGCAGAAGTGTGGTTCAGTTCTGATTACTTTCTTATTGYATATTGCTATTTCTGGATCATCTGTGTTTATTTTTTAGTGGACATACCAAGTGTTCTGGGTGTATGAAATTATGGTACAATTCATGCTTTTGCTAAGAACATAAAGAAATGTATATGATAGTTTCCCCTAAACAGCTGTGATGTTACTGTTCATGCTTTCATTTTAAAAAAAATAACAGGTTAGTGCAGGTTTTTTTTGGTTTTGGCATGTGTTTGATAATGATGTACCTAATTGAACTGTAGCAGTTTTAATGGAACAAGATTCATAGGGAGGGAGAGAATGGTGAATGTGTACATCCACAAACTTTGTGTGTGTCATATAAGAACTTTGAGAGCTTTGGTGCATTTCACTGCTCATTGCTTCATGGCTTATTGCCACTAGCAAGCCTACTGGAGACAAATACATCATGTATATGGTAAAAAACCCTTGGATCGTCATACGCAGAAAAGAATTTATGCAGTGGATGGATGGAGCTGTWGCTGACCTGATTTAGCATTACAGGAATAAGTGATTTAGGTTTAATGATGGGTAACCACTGKGTGGAGCTTTCATGTCTCCCCCTTTGTTTCATGTAGTCCTGACATTATTAGTAACTTMTTTTCTTTTCATATTCTTTAGGCAAACTGGAATTGAAATCAAAGATTTTGGACAAAGTTGGAGGAGTGGTGTGGCATTTCATTCTGTTATTCATACTATCCGCCCAGATTTAGTGGACATGGAGAAAGTGAGGGGAAGGTCAAATAGAGAAAACYTGGAAGAAGCCTTCACAATTGCAGAAGCAGAACTAGGAATTCCAAGGCTCCTTGATCCAGAAGGTACCTAATGCATAGTTGAAAAAAGTTTGAACTRCTTGCATGGGTTAAGCCAGATGTGCTAATTCACAGTGTTTAGACATTTAAGCAGCATTTTATGCCWTYCAGCTAAAATTTTAATTTTCCATSTTTWATAYTTGCCTAGATGTGGATGTTGAAAAGCCAGATGAGAAGTCTGTCATGACCTATGTAGCCCAGTTTCTGAAGTACTATCCTGATCCTCATCATACAATGACTGATGTGCCAGAGAATGATGTAAGTTTCTCTTGCATAACTATAAGAAACTGTTTATAACAAAGGGGGATGTTATAAATACATTTTATAACCTCCTTACAGTCCATTATATGTCCTTTTGATGAGCAGTTYAAGTGACAAGCAAGCACAATAAGAAAACTGGGAAACATTAGCTGAGAATAAAGGAGCAAATGTTGCAGACGTTTAGTAGGTGGAGAAAATAAAATGGTGAMCCTGCAGATACTTTCCTCTTTTCAGAAGTAGTGGGATCAAAAAATAACACAAAGAATTATTGTAGATAATAGCAAACCAAAGGATCCTAAAGCTTCTTAACAGTTTTTAAGCATAACACCAATGAGATTGTAATAATTTGTTAGCTGGAGCAATGTGTCATTTATGTTTCTGCCACACTGGGTTTCTGGTTAAGAACAAGAATGGTCCAAGATATTGTTTACAGTCTTTGGGCTTTTATGCTTGAGAGGCATTTACCATTTTGGCATAGGTTCCTTTCTATTTCACTCTGATGTTTAACTCTTCGCTCTGAGGAAATGTTTTCAGTCATGTTTTTTCCTTGTAATTTGATTTGTTTGTGCACTGGTGCATTGGCTTTGCACTGGAATGGTTACACTCAGCGATGCCAAGTTGTCATGACTCACTTCCTAGCCCTGATTTGCTTTCTTCATGGCAAACACTGGAAACACTGCTGAGACAATCTGCTCAGCCCCAGCAAGGGAGAAAGAAGAAGCAATTTTTATCTGTGTTTCTCTGCATTCCCTACAGAGGTTGAAAACAGCTTTGAAAGGAGTGAATCTCCYTCCTTATGGCTGTGTGAGGATAAGGTATAGCTGTAGCTTTGCTGTTTAATTCCAGYGCCTGAGCAGTGGGATTCACCATTTTCCTTGCTGCACCATTAACCTGAGGACGTACTCGTGCCCRTGTCTCAGCATCCCACTGATCCAGGGGCTGCTGGAGGGGACTGGGTGAGCACTGAAGCCTCGTGCTTGATCCGTTCAGGCTCAGGCAGTCCTGCCTTCTCCATACCAGGGCACACAGGGGAGTTTCTGCTGCCACCAGCCTTGGCCAGGCCTTCTGCCTGTGCTGGGGCTGGGWTTTGAGAAACAACCTCACCACCTTCCCCTGAGCTTTTTGCAGAGATGGTGCAGGAGAATGCAGGATTCAGCCATTCCATGTCAGGCAAACAGCCCGTCTCTGGCTGTGCCCACAGAGATGCTAACAGTAGTTATGAGAGGGCAGCTAATGACTTGCATCCAGATTTCCAGTTACCAGGAAACAGAAAAACACAAATCAATTTGGCATGCAAACATGCTGATCTCAGAACCACTTCTTCTTCTTAGATATCACCAWGATATTCCACCAGCAATCCACATAAATTTTGGTAGAACTGCTGACCCCTTTCATTTYACAGTGCAGAAACCAGTAACTGCCAGACTCTGAGAAGAAAGTAAAGTTTGACATTGCACTAAATTTCTAAGGTCRTCATTCTTTATTTCCAGGAGGAAGAACTATATTCTTTTTTACTCTCCTGCAGTAACCATATCATCTTTACATTATTTGGTTAGTTTAGTTACTTAGGACCAGWTTCACCTTTAAAAACTAAAAGCTAGGTACCCACAACATTCCACCTGTAGTCAGCAAGAGACAGACACTTCCCCAGATGTGATCTTTCTTAAGAAGGTCTCCTAAACAAACTTCTGGAAGCCCATGCTGCAGACTGTTTCAGCAGAGATAAAAGAGAATCAGAATAATCCATCTCATAGGTAATGATAGATAAAATGTTGTTGGCGGTTGATTAAAAAGCTTTTTATTTTAGTGACCAGTGTAATGCCTCTATTTCTATCCTTTTTGTCTTCCTCCTGAAGGATAGTCTGAAGAAAARTTTATCACACAATAGTAGAATCCTTGGGGAGATAACTTAGATAAAGTCTAGTCTAATGCTAGACTCTTGTCCCCTGAATTCTTGGAGGAATCCTAGTTTCTTGTTTAAGRATATATATTTTACCTGACATGTGTTAAGTGCCTGCTGTAGAATAAGTTGGACAGTAGATGTTAGATACAATGGGTCTTATCTGTCTTAAAAGATAGATAAGGGGACTGTCTCAGGGACTATCTCAGTTGCAGGTGCCTTWATTTAGTTAGAAGAATCCTACTTCAGACTGGACTGTGTCTGGGTGAAATTGGCAGGGAGAGGGAGGGCAAGAGGAGGTTTCTAATCCTCTTCCCGCACCCTCCAGCCTACTCAGCTGCCACTGTGTTTCCTTAAGATGTGTTGTCCACACAAATTCCTGTTCATCTTCCCTCCTGATTCAATGCTCAGTTTATAAAGAATTTGCATTGGATGAAGTGGAGTAATGATTGAAGCTTATCCCKAACTTGTGGTCAGAGGGAAAAGCTRCTTGTTCATGCATTTCCAGAATTAAAAGGGGTCCAATATCTCATGCAAGGGCCAGCTATGAACATAYGTGAACTTGTTTAGTCAACACATCTCAAAGAATCACAGTTACCCTAAGGTAAGTAACTGTTTTGTCAGATAAATAATGCAGTGCCTCGCAACCTGAAAATCAGATCTAGTATGAAAACTGATTCACTAGATATGGTACAGACATGTGAGCTTGATAATAGTCCTAAGGACATCTTGTATTCCTACCTGTGTGGCTCTTACTGTTCTCTCTGGACTTTGTCTGCTTTGCTTTATTTTATTTTGCTTCTTCTCTTTTTCCTATGTGTTTCATATTGCTAGGAACTTCAAGCAATCCCAACTTTTGTAATTTCTTTTATGAAATTTAAGGTAAGGGTATATGCTCAGAAAAATTAGTTGGATTGAAACTTTCATAGTTACATTTTTTCATCCTGCACTTATTTGACTTTAGATTTTTCTTAATGTACTTGATTTGCTAACTTTAAGTTAATCTTTCCAGAAAAGCAGATAGATTAACATGATGAATCTACATCTGCTGTCTTACACAAGCTGATTTTAACAGCCTAATGCTTAATTTTGCAAATAACTTAATAAAAATATTATAGAAAAACAAGYCAACTTTCTTATAATAAATCTCTGCCTATGCTTTAGGTTTTCTTAAGTATAGATAAAAATAGATTATAGCTCAATGTTTCCACACATCTAAAYTCATTTTAGATGGATATTTTTGTATGTCTTTAGGTTTATAGAGTAGATAGTAGAGTGTATGATTGTGATGTAWGTAGACTGTAGGTTGGAAGAAAAGCATGTTCATGTGTAATTTCATGACATGTGTCACGCCYTTTTTCCTCTAAATTATGGTATTTTTAAATACATACTTTTGTAACCATTTAGATTCTTCTAATTTTATAGTATTAACTGAGACAAGTTCAGAATCTATTATAGAGTATATGAAATGAGCATTCAGAGGTGAAACTGAAAGACTGCAGAGTGAATGTRTTATGAAATAAGAGGTGTCACTGCAGTGTGTCTATAGAGTTTATAGTTTGACCTCATCCAATTAACTGCCTAGATTCCACACTCATGGGTTTTTTTTTTTGTAATTGGGATTTTTTTTTTCTGAATAAATATACAAAATATATTATTTTTAAGTGATTAGGGTCAAGGGTTCATCTACGTCTCACATTATAAATTTCTAACTAGTGATGTATTGAAACAAAAGGTTATACTGAGAGCAGAATTATTCCTGTATTTTTTATCCATTCAAGAAAAATTTGGCACCTTTAATGGGACTTTATACATCCTTAGCTTTACACAGCTCCAGTGCATTGCTTCTTAAGCCAGTGGAGATTTGAAGTGGTAAAAGCCCTGCCATTTTCCTTATCATGGTATAAATTTAACTCTACTTAAAGCTCACCCCCTCAAAGTATTTCTGATGTAAAGTCTTTCTTTTCTTGTGCTCTGATGAGCAAGTAATTCAGAAGATAATCCTGTCATCTCTGACATTTTTATGCCAGCCGAGTTCCCCAATGTAAGAGGAATTTCCTGAGCAGCAGCTGCAAAAATAGCTTTCTGAGCTTTTCCAGGGATTTAGTCTACTTCTGCAGATAGTCATTACTGGCTCATCCCTGAAGGTGATGCCTGGCTCAGCATTCACTCTGTGTCAATGATATTGCTGTCAGGGAGAGAGTTTCAGTAACATATATACCTCCAGTAACACTTATATATATATAACCCAGAGTTTTCAAAAGGAACAGCATAATTAACTGAATTTCTGCCCGAACTTTTTTGAAGGGACTTTATTTTTCCAGTACCTATGGAATACAACGGTACAGTGTCCCTGAAAAACAGGTGACTTAACTTCTTTGGATTTAAAATTTATCATTTGAAAACTCTATTGTGTCTGTGCTTGAGAATTTGAACAGTTCACTTAGTTTATAATTACACATTAGAGAACTAAACAAAATACGCCTTATCCAGTCCATAATTAAGATTCTAATTATATTTTTAGTTCTTCACATCCTAGAGTATTCTGTATTATGTAATTTTCAAATTACTTTTGGCATACCAGTTAATAAAATGATGTTTTGGTTTTGAGTCTGGGCAGAAAACTTTGCAAATTTAAAATGTCCATCCCCCCTTATCATATTAGGACTCATAAACACTTTTCTCTAAATRCCTTCTTTGATGTTCCTTGTCAGTTCAGTGCTCCAGTTCTGTTCATCTCTAGAAATCAATGAATATTCATGGAATTGTGTAAGGATAAATTAATATTTTAAAATGCTGCTTGGAAGTAGTATACTGATTGAATCACAGGATTTTAGATAAACTCAAATAAATGGATCAGAGATCAGTGGTCCTCATGCTGGGGAAAGCAYGCATAACTTTTTGTTTGGTGGTTTACCTTCTGATCTATATGCTACTTCAAATGTGCAGGCTTTAGAAAATACTTTAAATGTCTTTGAGAATGTCTTTTTGATTTTTTTCTATTAAGAAGGACTAGGCACTAATGAAAGTCTTGTTTTAAGAATGATAGCTCATTAAATCTGGTGGGTGTTGATGACAAGTGCCTTGGTGTCTAAAAAAGTGAATCTCTTCTGTTGATTACCCAAACTGAGACTTCAAAGTGCTTTAGTATCAACCAAGGACTGCAGAACCTAATTTGCAGGTGGTAAGTGATGTACTGAACCAGAAACCTGTGAAAACTTACGAATAAATAAATTAAAGTTTTATCATGCATTGTTGCACAATGACTTTTATAGCATCCAGTTAGGTGGTTACTGAACCATCTACATCTTCTGCAATTAAGTAAAGTAATCAAAAGTTTGCCTAAATAATTAATTTTAAAAAATACAGAAGACTTAATGCCACCTGTTACTGTTTCTCTGATACTAAGGAAAATATTATGTGATGTAAGAAGTTCCTGTTCTGTTGAGCAGCTGTTCCTGTGTTCTTTATCTTCAGGTACCATGAATGCATTCTTAATCCCAGAGATACTCTATTTCGAATAGATTTGATCAGCCAGCATTAAATTTTTAAACTGTGATGACAGGGACTTTGCAAAATACCTGTTTTGCTCAGATTCCTGTATGAACAGTTGCAGGCACATAGATGCTCTTTCAAAATCTTACCTTAAGGACTAATACAAATATGAGACATAGGGGAATATAAGACAGTGTTTTACAAAGCTGAATTTTGTAGTGTGAATTAAAAGTAATATAGAGAGTATTGGGGCACACGTTGTCTTCATCACTTCAATAATATCTTACTGAAAGTTTCAGTCAGTAAGATTGCTATAGGATTTTCAATCCTATATTAAGATACCTAGTTTAGTATTGCTTTTATGGAGCTGGCAGCTAAATACTAATAGAGATCTCAACAGTCTCACTAAAGTTATAGCTTCTTAAGAATAGAGCAAATTTAATATTATTTTTTTTGGCTGAATGAGTTAAGATTCTCTCATTTTATRTTCTCCTTGGTTGGACTCAATTRTCTTAGAGGTCTTTTCCAACCTAAATGATACTTCTCATAGAGAAGCAGTCATGAATTCACTGTTTTGCTCAAAGAATCTTGATGTCATTTCCCCACAAAGACTGGAACAATATAAATTTTATTCTCCTTCTCTATATTTGTATGATTTGAGAATTTAGAAACACTAGGAGTTTTGGCTTCTTGGGACACCATGTTCAAGAAAAGCCCAATATTGCAAGTACCAGGAGCAGGGAAATGTCAAATCTGTCCTGTGCTGTTTCTCAGGTATCAGCTTTTGTGTGTAGAAGACAGGAGTGTGAGCTACAGAGAACTTCTGCACAGCACAGCTGCTCTAAGAGCATGTTAACCTCACTGCAACTACCTGGTTATCCAGATAACTGGGATAATTGCAAATCTGTTGTGCAAATTAAGTTCAACTAACTACCACTGTTTTGAGTAGAGGTTYAGTAAAAGATTTAGTAGAAATACACCAAAGAAGGATTTCTTTCCTATTTCAGGAGGCTGTCCTTCCCTTGGCTGAAATAAAGCAATAGTTTTATATTTTTAAAATTATTAAGAGAAGTTATRTTTTGCAGATTTTAGGCAGCTTTCAAAGAAAGCAACCATAAATAGGCTTTTTTTCCCATGTCAGGATCATTTCCTAAAAGACACTACTTTGTTTCTTAAATACAAAAGTGGCTACTCTTTTTTTAACCCAGTCCAGTTTTTCTTCTCTCATGTAATGCTTGAAGTGTAATCACTTATTTTAGGTGATTAACTTATATGATGGATGTTGCATTTGTTCAGTGTAATAGACAAATGTGTTGCTCGTCTGCTTCTGAGAAATTTTACAGTAATAAGATTTCTTTGGTTTCAAGAAGTAGCTTCTGATTAACAGCCAGCACATCTGGTTCATTGTTTGGAAATCTGAGATGGACATYCATCCTTGTATCCTCCTTGACAGCCTCCTCACACAGTGCACAAAATACTTTCCGTTTTGTGATAACCTTTGCATATAACATAATCACACACCTGAAAGTTCCTGTTAGTGCCCTTCTGTCCACTGCCAGGTCACTGAACTCTGCAGAAAACTTTGCAGCCTTAAAAAGCCGCAGTACCATGACAGACTGAAGTGTTAAAGGCAAAATGTAAAACAAATATGCTTTTCTTCAAAGCCATAAAATGGCACTGAAGGAGAAGAAACTGAATRTAAATGGGGTTTCTTGCTTTCTTTTCATTTTCCATGTTAAAATATTCAAAATATTTCARTTACTTCTGAACTTGGAGCTTTATGTCAAGGATTACCCTGAAGTCAATCTGACAATAACATTTCTTTTCAGCAGTAGCAGGCCAGCTAATAAATGATGGTGAAAGACTAAAAAAAATCCTCTCCTGTCTCAGCTCAATTAACTTTTACTGAAAATTGMCTTTGCAAATTTGTTGAAGACTAGRATTAGTTGTTAAGATAYCTTTAAASAACTTTGTGTTAATTTAGMATCAGATGAAAACTGCAAATATCCCTGACACTGGAATGTCCCAGTGTGTCATRATTTCACAACTGTAAGACTCATATCTAGTTGCTGCCTTCTCTCACACTGAGAAAGTGCTTTTCAGTTAGATTGTAAGAAGGTAAATGATGAGAGAATTGGGCACATTTTCTTTCATGACAGCTAATGACCTTGACTTGCTATAGAGATGTTAATTTGTGGACCACCTCTGACAGCTCTACTAAAAGGCTCCAATGGTTGTTNTTTTTTTTTTTTTTTAATGTGTGGTTGTACTACATGATAGAAAGAAGACAGACTGGTGCTAAGAGACCTAAAAGTGTGGGCAGACCAATTCGAAAGAGACATAGCCCGAGCACAAGTGGCAGAAACAAGCTTRCAAGAGAAATATCAGGTAAGCAGCAGGGAAATTTATGTCTGATTACCAATTATTGTCATCATTATGTGTAACAGGTACTGCAGTATTTCATGCAGTCTGTATCTGTGTGAGTCACTGTAGTGTTGTTTAACGAAATAAGGACACAAAATGTCTTGCCTTTTATTGGTGCAGGAATTATAATGTCAGCTCCAGCATTGCTACGTAGGACAGTGCACAGATGGTTTGCCTAACRCAGAGCTTTTCCCAGCAGTGTGAACAAGGACTGTCCTAGTTAGAAGAGAGCATGTGTCTGTGCCTCCTTCCAGATCCTGCGTGATTTAGCTCWGATAGGAGGTGTGACTGAAGGCTGGGTGAGGTGACAGGTGGAGAGGACAGGGCTGAGAGTTTCACTTTCATCCGCTCTCTCAAAGGTTAATGTCTGAATCAGAAATACAAAACTTGGCCTAAATTTTCTCCTGAAGTTKGACTGTTCTCTAAATGCAGCCTCTGTCCCAAGTGGCATTAAATCCATTTGCTATTTTATCTGATCAATTATTATCTCATTTCATATATGGTTCAGGCATCTGATAACTGAAGGGAAATACAGAAGTCCTACCTATATATAAACCATAAATATACAAGTAAATAAAGAAGTTAAGTGCTATTCCTCTTTGGAAAGGATTAGTACTCCTATCAGTACAAAATTTTCACAAGTTATGGTATTCCATAAATGTTAAAGAATTTAAATCCTTGACTCTGTTCTGGAATTGATTTGATTTTCTCTTTGTGCAGTCATATAAGCATTTCAGGGTACAATATGAGGTCAAAAGGAAACAGTTTGAACTTGCAACCCAGTCAGTAAGGAAAGATGGTAAATTATCACTTGATCAAGCTGTGGTGAAGCAAGCATGGGAGAGGGTTTCTTCCAGGGTAAGTGGAAAATCATGGTGCTATATATTTTTCCTTAAATGAAGCATAGAATTTAAATTCATTTCAACACCTGTTTGCTATTGATTTTATTAGGCATTAGGAATCTAAAAGTGTACCCGATTTCTGGCACTGCTGAATTATTTTGCATTTGTTTGAGAATATTTACTGCCCTGTCATCTTTAATGTTGCTCAAAGACAGAATATAAACTTTAAGAAAAGGACTATGCTTTGAGATTTTACCCTCCTTCAGATAAAGGGAAAAGTGCTCAGCCAAGTGCAAAACACTGCTGATAGAAAGAAAAGCATACACAGTGCCCTTTCCAAACCCAGTGTTCTAATGTAAATTTCTACTTTTTTGAGAAATTCTAATATAACATTTTTTAATATCACTAAAAAAAAAAACTTCCTGTTTAATACTGAATACTTTACTAATAAAGGAGATTTTAATTCTATTTTTGACCTGTTTCCACTAGTAATAAATTAACCTTAGTATTCATGATTGGAATTTTGTACAACTGAATGAAAAATCCCAGGCGAGTTATATTGTTTTTCCCAAATAAAAAGTTAAAAAAACATTATTACTAGTGCATATCCATACTATATGTATCTTTTTTTTAATGCCATGTAGTTAACAGAGGTTCTGTTTAAAATGTTTCTGGGGTTTTCACATAATTTTTGTAGTGTTTTCACTCCCATAACTGGCATTACCAATAAGTCACAGTGTTTTACTCCGACATTCTCCCTCCACAGTCCTTTGAGGCTCTTTTGAACTTTACACACAAAAAATATGTTCACAATAGAGATACAAAGAYTTTATGAAGGAGCATGAATTAAATAGCATTAGCAGAAGAGGGTCTTGCATCCCTTACTGTTCCTATTTACAGATGAAATCCCAGATATTTAGCTTGTCAGTTGTTCCAGTATATTTGTTGTCATTCTGTAACTTCATTACCATTCAGAAAGGAAAATACATAAATCAACAAACTCTTACAGAGATTTTGTTGCCTGTGAGAATGCTGTAATTTCCAGACTCATGTGGAGTAATGTACCTAGATTTATGTCTTAGATATATTTTGTTACATGGGGATTTGGTCTTACAGCGTAAACACTATTTTTTGTCAATGTACTTGTTTGTATTATTTAGCAAGGGAGAATTTAAATACCTTTTATTTAATCTTTTATTTCCTAGATGCTTGATTGGCACATACACCTTGATAAATCTCTTCCTGCGCCTTTGGGCACCATCGGCGCTTGGCTCTACAGGGCAGAGGCTGCTCTGAGGGAAGAAGTAACTGTTCAGCAAGCTCACGAGGAAACAGCAAACACAATACACAGGAAGCTTGAACAACATAAGGTAGATGTGCATACATTCATTCTGTGCCTTATCCTCCACTGTTTCCACAGCTTTAAATGATCCATACCCGACAACGTTTATTTCTCATTTCTGTGCATTGTGTTGTCTTGTTGGTGGCTAAAGCTTGGTGTCCTGTCAGGGTGACTTGAACGGTGATATCTGTGGATCTTACAATGATTATTCAGAATTGCTTTTGAATGTTCTTGCTTATATCTGAAAGATATCAGGTACTAGTATTTTAATTTCTGTGTTAAAACGCTGTAGGGAGCTCATACTGTTRGGCATATTGTTCAACCTGTATGAACTAATTGGGTGAAACAGGGAAGAGGGAATAAATTGCTAACTGTGCTGACAGTCAGTGCAGATGATATGCATGGGGGGAGAAAATGAGAATGAAGAGAGTTTTCATAGTGTTGTGATGACAGATAGCATGATAGCCATCTGTGATGGCAGATAGCGTGCTGTGGCAAACAGGAAACTTTTCCAGATGAATTTAAATAATTGTGCCCTTATTCTTTGCTGAGTCCAAGTTCACATTTTAAAATCAAAACTGTGAGGTTTTTTTTTTTCCTGTGGATGTTCATAACATGTATGAGAAAAGCATACTGGTGAAAAAATATGCKGGTGAGATGGTAAAAGAAACTGAACCGGTAAATGAAAGGGAAAGATGGTGTAGAGAAAGGCAGTATTTGAAGCTGTATTGTTCTAGATTGCTTTTTTTCCTCCTCTGTCACTACTATTTTAAAATTTGTTTGTAAATATGTTATTTTTTGTGTTTAGGATACAGGTGGCATTTTTGCATCAAAAAGTAATGTCAAATAATGGAAAGCTGAAAAGATTAATGGTCATCTGATTACTTTTTCTTAGAACAATTGCAGGTCTTCTAACTTTAGTAGTAACTAATAAAATGTAACAAAAATAATATTAAAATCTGTGGAAAAATATGGATTTTTTTTCAGTATTATCTCTTGTAATGCTAAATTTCATTAACTTTGTTGGTAACATCAAATGTTTCAGGATTCATAGAACTTGACACTGGCTTAAAAAAAAAACCAAGCAAGTCAAACAGTCTTTTGTTCTAAGAGTGTGAACACTATGGACCTCCTTTTGATACATTCATAAGAAGTACAAAAAAAATGTGCCCTAAACTGTATTTTATTTGCATCAGAAATGCTGTGGTGAGAGATTTCTGTGGCAACAAATAAACTTTGATTTAGGTTAATCTGTGCCAGGGGAGTTTTCCCATGGGAGTGGGATGGAAAAAGCTTCAGGAGAAGCATATGTAATTATATCYGTTCCTGGAACTTGTTTTGTTGCTCAGATTTGAATTGATGAATCCTAATGTGCTACTGCATAGTACCAGAAATGCATTAGCGTATTTTTTTTCAGTCCTTGTTTCCTTGTTTTCTTCTGGTTTGTTTGTTTGTTTGTTATGGTTTAGTTCAGATAATGTCACTGCTTTCTTTTTATCTTGGTCTCATCTGACRATGGGTTGTTTCAGTGAACTATACAGCTTATGGCCATTTTGAATTTAGTACAAAATATACCATCTTATTTGGACAAACCTCATGCAATCAGGCAAACACAAATGTTTATTTTAGTTGATATTGCTACTGAGATCCAGGAATTAAGGGCAATATCTGCTTGTTGAGGGTCATTTCCCAGAGCAGGATTTCATTTTGTGACAACACTCTCTATAAGCTTTCATGGGCATCCTGTTGATATTGGATGAAACTGCTGGGGGTTTTTTTGACTCACCAGTGCATGTTAGGGACACSTCATTTTTGTATGGCAAAAACTTTTACTCCAAGTCTTTCCTTTATGTGAGACTATGTCAGTCACTGGAGTTTTCACCATGGTAAAATCAGCACATCACTTGCACTTGAGGAAGCCCGCCTCATTTCTCCTCACAGTAAGGTGTTGGCTGAAGCAGAGAACAATGAAARCACAGGCAGATTGATGGGGATAGTGGGGCCATTTGGTGAGCTGAGCCAGAAAATTACCACTGATTCCTCCCGTGCAAACACTGGGTGTTGGCTGGGGATAAGTCCTTCCTTGGCACACAGGAATAAATACATATGTATGATCAATGCAGAAGCCTGCATTTTGTTCTCTCCACTGAGAAAGGGGAATCTTTGTAGGATCTTTGCTGGCAGGCTTCTGAGCACCTCGTGCTGGCAGCTGTCTGTCTGCAGTAAAAAAAACCCCACCATTCCGTGCCCTCTCCGCCGCTCTCTGGGGACTCAGCGTGTTCCTGCTAACAGTATCTCTTCAAAGATTGCTGCCAGTCATTCATTTCAATATGTAATCTCCAGGAAGCCGTTTGAAGCGGTGTTGCTTAGTTACAGTTGAAGTGTGCTCTGCTGTAAGGGTTTCGCTGGTTCAGTTCGTATCGCAGGAGCACAGGTCGGGTACCACATTCCGCAGTCGTTCGTGCACTACTGAGACAGCGATCCTGAAATCTTTTGATGGTGAGAGAGTGAAAAGTTTACTAAATATGGAATATGTACTTAGAGAAGGAGCTATGGATCTTCTGCCTATATATAGGAGAGTAGATTAGTTGCTGAAAATTTCGGTCTATACTTAGCAAAGGTTAGWGTCTGTTATAAAGGTTTAAAGAGTAAATTTAGGAGGATTATGCTTTGTGATGTTAGCATATTGTCAGACTGCATTTCAGGGATTATTTAATACAGTTAAGAGTTCTTGTTTTGTTCTACCTTTGCAGTGCATCCTGTTTTAAAATCTTCCATAATTGTTCAACATAGCTGTAACCGAGCTTCCCATAAGGAGGTTTCCTGTGTAAATGTTTAAGTTGATGTAAATTATTTTGTGGTATGCTTTACCTTGCATGGAAATGTGAGAGCATGATCAAATAGTTAACTACATTGAGTCATCAGAGCCGGCTTAAAATTGTGCTTATTAGTTAGATAGCCTACTGTGAGCCTTTTCTCTCCCTCCCCTCCCTCCCCCCAGTMTCTCAATATCTCTCTCTTTCTTAAAATCCAATCAGGATCTGCTGAAAAGCATAGATGGTCACAAAAAGGCATTCCATGAGATCCACAGGACCAGGTCTGTTAATGGCGTGCCTGTTCCACATGACCAGTTAGAGGATATGGCAGACAGGTAAGGCTTTCAATCTGAAATAAAAAGCTTCTGTGCATGATGGGGAGCCTGTTTGCAGTTTAATCTGTTCATGTAGAAATCAGTCTAGTTACATTTCTCAGTGGTAAACTGAGATGGATAGAAAAATCTCCTAGAATATACATAAAAATATACTGAAAAACCTGATGCTTTTAAGATTGATGAGAATCAACATAAGCTATAGATTTTGGATGGGAATACTTTTTTTTATATTGATCCTGTTGTTACTTGTCCCTGTAAGAAATGTTATATAACCACAGCTAGGATGCATGTGAAAAAAAAAAAGAAAAATGACTTTGCAAAACTTAGTAACAGCAGCAAACTGATGATTCCTATGAATAAACAGAAATATAATTAATTTGTTGTTTAAGAGCAGTTAGCAGGCTATCATCATACATAAATTGAATGTAGACTCKGAGGTGAAAGATTAGAAAAATATTGGAACAGTAACTAAAGCTTTCAGTCTCTCCTAAAAAAATTAATATTACTGTATTTTACTATATGCTGATTCATTTTATAGGTTTAATTTTGTTGTCTCTTCATCTGAACTCCATCTGTTGAAGATGGAGTTTCTGGAACTGAAGTACCGTCTGCTGTCACTGTTAGTCTTTGCAGAATCAAAGTTAAAATCATGGATTATCAAATATGGAAGGCGAGAGTCGGTGGAACTGCTTCTTCAAAATTATATTGTAAGTTTGGGTTGTCTTATTTTTATAATTATTTTTCAAATACTCATATTTAAGTTTGCTAGAATTGTATAAAAGAATAGAAAAAGACATCAGATTCATCAYTCATCAACTTTATGACTGCATTCTTATGGAATATCTCTTCAGAGGTGAATTTGTCTTCCCCAAAGAGGAGCCTAGACAAAAGGCTAAAAATAAAAACTATTCTTTTTGCACCATTTCTTGAAAAAGAGAAATTATGTTTCAGCTGCTGTCTGACAATTAATTTARCAGCACGTGTGGAGGTTCCAAATGCTAGATTTTTGCTTTGTATAGCAATTCCAAATAACTTAATTTCATTTTCTTTTACACCTGCATAGATGCATTTTATAGTGACTATACACAGGTTAAGAGTTAAAGACAGAGGAGGTTTTTGGCATGCATTCCCACACAGTGTTTTTTACAGTCTTCCAAAAGAATTGAGAAAAGGATATTATTCTATCTCTATGTACTTGTTCAATATACTGTACCTACAGGAAAGTAATTTTCTCCTTTTAAAAAAGCATTTTTCTTTTCCTACTCAGCATCATTATATTGAACCCATTGCTTTATTTCTGTTTTGTGAAGAGTTTGCTCCAGCTCTGCATCAGCCATATRCCATGTTAAGAAACAGGAAATATTGGCTTACAAGTGTTCATTGATAAGTTCTCTGTCAGTGTTATGCTGCTGTATCTTTTTAAATTCACACGTGCGGTGCCAAGTGTAGGTAGAATGATACTACTGCTGCACTTCTATATTAGGGCATGAARGATTCTTTCAAAAGCAGGGCTGGTCTCAATATTTCCTTCCCTTCTGTCTAATCCATATGGGAAAAATTGCATGGAAAAATTAAGTCAGGAAAGAATTCATGCAGTTGCAGAATCACTCAGAGCCAGATCAATGCATAGAGGAAATTATTGAAATCCCCATTTCTTTGGAAAGAAAATTTCRAACTCATTGAAGTTCTCTACAAAGTGAGAATTTCGTGTTTAAACTTTGTGTCCCCAGCTCTTAAAAAATTCATGATTTAGTTAACCTTGTTGTTAGATAAGCTTTGCAAAATTCAGATAATTACTTGAAATAACTCAATTTGCTGAGTGATGCGCAATACCTAGGAGTTGTAGTCCATTTGCTTACTCTCTATGACTGTCAAAAAACTACTGAAAGGTGGCAAAGGAAGTCATTATAAAGTGGGTAGCATGAATTTTCATTAATTTTTTTGTCACTTCCTTATTTTTTGCTTTAAAATTACCATCAAGTTGTTAATTTATATATTAATTTGCAAGTGCCTCAACTGATCTTGTGATTCAGACCACTAATGCTGAGGTGGTCATTAGGGAAGGAGAATGTTTCCTTKTGTAATTTTCAAAACTTCATAACATCAAAATTAGGAAATCGAGGCAGGAAGATAAATAAATCACATCTTCATTCTTGGTAGTCTTGACTTCTGGCTCCTTCAAGATGTGATGGAAAGAGAATTTATTTGCTTTAGCTTACCTGGGACCTGTTTCCTAGGACCAAGACACAAGTGTTACTCTTCCAGTATATTAGGACTTTTACGTAGGAAAGCTGCAGTCAGTACCTTATAGTCAGTGATTCCATTAGTAAGAGATAAAAATGTAAGTCTGTTTGTCTGCCAGAACAGACTGGGGAGTGTCAGCATTCTAGGAACATGCGTAATTAGGATCTGTACAGAACATATGCCTGGAAAATATTTATGTACTGTAGCTTAAAAATAAAAGTGGTGKTTGTTAGTTAACCTTCTCATCTTTTCACCCATGTGTGATATATCAGAAGTAAAGGYCAGCACAGATTGTACACCATCAGCCTTTATAATTTACTGTACTAAATTCTCAGCTGTAATGCAGATATGAGGTACAGTTATCCATGGATTTTAACCCATGGAATTGTGTTTTAGCATTGCTGTGTAAGCACTTTTTTAGCATCATATGGTACACTGGTTTGGGAAAACTACATATTTCCCTCAAGGAGTCTTGTCTGATAATTTGTAAAATTTCTATAATTTCTGAAAAATATTTCAAACAGCTCTAGAGAACAATTATTTAAAATCTTTTTCACTCTTCCATATAAAGCCTTGGAGGTTTTGGTTCAGGTAAAAATATCTGTCTGTACTTGTGGCATAATTAAAAGTCACATCAAACTTTCACATAATTTGTGATAAAGCATGTAGGTCTTCATACATAGCAGATTTTGTTTCAACAGGAGGACAGAGAAAAATTCTGATTTTTCTTGACTTMTAGTTTCCTTGGTTATAAAAACAATTCTAAATTACATACTAGATTATCTCTAGTAACTTGACATAGCAGCTGTCAAAGTTTTTAAATAGAAGGGTTTTAGATATATACTGGCTGGCAGATTAATTTTTAAATTTTTTTTTCATGTTATATAACATGAGTTGAWGAACACACAAGATCTGAATCTCCTGTTCAAAATACATTGAACTTTCTTTTAACTGTGGTAATGSAAGATACAATATGCTTGCATAATATAGAGCTATAATTATGTATTGCACTTAAAGGAAATAACATTTCTAAAAGACATGTAAAAAAAGGTCAGTGTCATTTTCTGTAGGAAATAAAGAGGAATAAATGTCAGAGGCATAACTTTCTTTTACCAAAATATTTCCAGATAATTTATTCATCGCACTATAACACATTACAGAGATAAGCCATCACTCATAAAGGAACAGCACTTCAGAAATATGTCACACTTCAGAAAAACATCTCTTTGTGCAGTGTTTCCATAATCTTATTTTTGCCAGTTGCAAAGGAGATAAAGAAAAACTGAAGAACAAGGCAAATGTTTTTCATCTCTTAAAATGTAACCTGTCTTTCTGCAGAGGCTTAATRCAGGAACAACTGGATCTGATTTTTGTGGTGACACATATGAAGGAAATTTTCTCTTTTATTGAAATTACTCCACTTAGATTCCAGTGTATAAAAGTTTTCATTAAAGAACTTGTAAGTTGCTGACTATTTCCGCACATTCTAAGTATCACATGCTAGGGAATTCCAGCAAGACAGCAACTAAAAACATGTAAATGACCTTTCAATGTGGAAAGTAAATAAATCTGTATTTATAATGATTAATTTGAAAAGTTAAAATTTGAAAATTTAAAATTTACATGTTATTTTATAATTATGATAATTAAGGTATTTTATAATTATGAAAATATGAATGGAGAAATAATGAAGTAAAATGTTGTCATCAGCATCCTGATATAATTTCATAGAAATTATTCCTATTTTTAATACCCATCTTTATTTTATCTGTTACAATTTTTTTGTCTTTTCAGTCTGTTATTGAAAATAGTAAGTTCTTTGAGCAGTATGAAGTTACTTACCAGATCYTGAAACGGGCAGCTGAAATGTATGCCAAAGCAAATGGCTCAGGTAAATGTCTATATATAATCTTTCATCACTGGAACAGCATTTTAATCTCTTTACACATAAGTGTCCTCTAAAAAAGTCTCCTGATATTTGTTTCTTCCATGCAGCAAAGCTGTTCTTYACCAGCAGCTGCAGTTCACCAGAGACCACAGCCTCTGGGGCAATTTCAGATATTCTCTAGCATGTACCCACTGGTCCAGAGCAGGCCAACCTCCTGTTCTTTCAGAATCTCCAGGGGAGGGTGTTCATATTCACACTTCCTCACGGGAAAAGCCCATTTTCCATGCTAACCCTTGGATTATTTCAGTGTCATTAATTTGGACTAAAAATGTGACAGAAACCAAATTAGGAATAGGGAAAATCATGTTCTAGTGCCTGGAAATTCTCCCTGGCTTGGCTTAATTTAAAAGACAAACACAAATAGGGCATTGGTCCCAGTATCGTAGCYGTGAAATTATCCCTTGGCTTATTGGATGTTCTTCATTAGCTTTGAAAACCTGCAAGAGGAACTCCAATGGTAATTGCAGTATGGATATACATGGGAAAARATGTGTAGCTGATTCAACATCTGCCTCCTGTCATTCTGGAACACTGCTGAGTTCAGTGAGATTTCCAGGGCAATATTTGACCTAGATAATTACAGACATGAGTTCACTTTAATCTGTGACATAGTAATGTCTGTGGAGGATTGCTGCAGCTGCTGCTAAATCGGGGAGAAAATTGATACCTTTGTTTGTTGTGAAATTTAAATTGATAGTGACACTCGAATTTTACAAAAGTAAACATTTTTACTAGGTATTCTTACAAAGAACAAAAGTCACAGAATTATTCAATGCTATTAATAAAATCCAATAACAAATTCTTTTCATAAGAACAAGTACTCACATATATGAATTCAGCAATAGCAGTTCAAATTAGCTAAAAAATTCTTTAAAGCAACTATTTTCTGCATATTTTACTAAGTCTCAGCATTTGTGGGCCTTTTGTCTTCTCTCTGTTATTTTTTTTCCTTCTGGCATGAGGACACACTTGTTCCTTCCTTGGYATGTGGAAGATACTAGAAGTTAAATGGCAAAAATTAGCAGCAGTTTGGTTTCAATGTCAGTGGAAGGAAGATCAKAATCTTATTCCATACTTTTCAATGCAGACATAATATAAGTTTTTCTATTATCCATTTCTCATTTTCTGCACTCTTTAGGCAAGCTTATATCTTGATTTTGCAGATTTGAAATGAACACCACACACAATATGCAGTGTGACTGTTTTAATTTATCATTCATTTTATGTACTTTCCAAAGTCTTTAATTCACACGTTTGATTTCTCAGTCATGATCTTGTGCTAAAATTGGGTTGTGAACTGAACATTTGTATAGAAAAACCTACTGAAATAGAAGTTACAGTAAAATATAATTCCCTGATGACAGTGAATAAGCGTAATATAAGTTCATCTTTACAGAAATAGTAATGAAACAAAATAATCCATGTATTTCCTATATCTCAGTGGAAGAAGTTGAGAGTGTGATGAAATTCATGAGTGATACCACAGCTCAGTGGAGGAACCTCTCAGTAGAGGTGAGAAGTGTRAGAAGCATGCTGGAAGAAGTAATTGCTAATTGGGACAGATACAGCAGCACTGTGGCAGGTCTACAAGCTTGGCTTGAAGATGCTGAAAAAATGCTGAACCAGCCTGAACATTCCAAAAAGGTATGCACTAGTAACATATGCATCTGGCTATTTTGTAAATTGTGAAATGTGGGATATTTTTTTTTTTTTTTGCATTTGCATAGGTTCTGCTCAGACTTTGACATCCTATCTTGATTCATCATTGGAGTTTCAGTGTTTGCTCACACTCATCTGGAGGCAAATTTATGGATACAAAATGAAGGAAAGCCTCCTCTGTGGTACCATGGTTAGAGGCATCTTTGATACAAGTTCAGGGCAGCAGTATTGCTCAGAGATAGGAATGTTACATGATTCACTCTGAGGCAAATTCAGCTCTTAGCACCAGTGAGTAATCATGGACTACCTATAAAGACACACTGATTTTTCTAGATGACAGATTTCAGTACTCATTACCTTCAAAGAGCATTAATTAATGCTATTAATATGTGTTATTATAAGTAATCAGTCAATTTTCCTGACATTTCAGAATTCTTTTAAACAATTGATTTTGTGGACCTGCAGTTATAAAGCTACTTTATCTATTTTTTTTTCTGCTATAATGTTAGAGTACTGAAACATTAAGACTTGAGTTTGTGAATCTTCAATAATAACCTGGATTGACTTGAACAGTCCTGCATTTAATAGATGCTGCATTTGCACCTGGTCCTGATGTAGCAGCTGTATAGCTCCTAACATTAAGGTGGGGTTCTYATGGGTTGTAAGATGATAAACTGGCATCAAGACAGGAATGAGCATTCATGTTACATGAAAGAAAGCTTTACATTTTGTTGAAGTTTGTTAGTATAAACTAAAGTAATGGAATACACATTTAAAATAAAAATAAACCTGTCAAGAAAATAATTTGGCATAATACARATAGAAACAATTATTCCTGGGCAGGAAGGATGACTTCAGCTGATAAGGGAGATACAGGATATTGGTGTGTAAGTAATTGGACAGTGATTAAAATGAAATACTCTAAATTCCATGTATATGAATGCAATCAAAACATTTACTTTTCTGATCAGATGTATAAATTTATCTTTAAAGATCTGGGAAGCAGACGTTTGAACCTACCCATACAGTATATACTTGTGTCTGATTTTTAACATAAATCCAACAAATAATTCTTGTCATTTTGATCTCTGACAAGTTTCAAAAAACCTTGTTAAAAACCTGAGACGTGAAGCTTTATTCTTCCCAAAAATGCTAATTTCTTCTTAAAATACATTGGCTCAAACCTCTTAAAGGTTACTGAGTGGTAGCATAATCCGCCTGCAGACTGAGATACATATTTTAAATGTTAATTCTGATTTTAATGTTGAATTTAGCACTCCACAGCAGTAACGTTTTTACTTAGATAGTTTTAAGGATAGGTGTTTTAGCAGTTTAATATTTGATTATTAAAACCAAAATAAATTCTTAGAGTGGTTTTTAAAAATGATAGTCTTTCCGGCATAAAAATACCAGGTGAAAGATGATAACTATTGTTTGGAATATGGCATAAAACATTTTTAAACATTTCAAAATATTTCTTCTGTAAACCCATGAAGATATCAGTAATATGATGCAAATTCTCTCAGTTGCAAACATTACCTGTATTACTAAAAACCACTATATTCTATCCTAGGCAAAGACCATATAGTCCTTCATCATATTGTCTTTTTCTTCTTCCCATTACCTCTTTATCATTTCCAGACCATCAAATACTACTGTTCTTTTTGGAAAAAAAAAAGTGGCCTGTTGGCCTCTGTTTTCAGAAACCTTATATAAACCTGTAGCATTGAAGATTTTGCAAAAAAAATAGCAGTATGTGCTTGGATTTTTCTAACTGTTCCTTCTACATCTCCTTTGTTTTCTTCCAGTACCTCTTAAGCACTTTCCATAATTATTTCCTTCTAAATGCACCCTCCTACACTTTTTTCACACAGCATATCTAAAAGGTTTTAGAGAGCTTCTAGATCTCATGTGGTGACTTCCTTAAAAAGTGCTTCATTGTTTTAATTGAGCATGAGGTGTGCTTCCCAGTATCTTCCAAACTTGTTTAAACTTTAAACATGCTGAGGTTGAAATGCTTCTGAAATGGAGAGAGTCCCCAGCAGGGTCTGTGGAAGGTAAGGGTTTGTGGGAATAAGTCTGTGGAAACAAGGAAATGAATTGTATACTCCACATGCTTTTTTTCTTGACCTCTAGTGAGCCTGACCATTGGAAAGCTCGCAAGTTCCATATTCAGTTGACTTATTTTCTTTTGGATGTTCTCATAAAGTTTAGCCTTTGCACAAAGCAAGGGGTTTGTTCCACTGTGAGTGGAAGAAGATTCAAACTGCAGATGAAATTTACTGAGGTGATTAAATTTATTTACTGATACATCAGTACAGAGCACCTGAACATTCCTGATCCTAGCTTTAGGWGTTGAAACACTGTGTGTTGTTCAGTTCTCTCTTCAAGGTATTTGACCAGCGTACAACCATTTGACATTTTCTTTTCAGTTGCATCTGAAATTTTTTTACCTAAGGATGAGTTCTGACAAGTATAAAATTTCACAACTGTAGCTCTGAAACTTTGGATGACTGACAGTGTGGTTGGATAGGCATTTTTCATATGTACTATTGAGCAAAGGATTGTATTGGACCATCACTGGAAGGTGAATGGTGTTGGAATTACAGGGTAGATCAATCGTCATAAATAAAATGGATCACTGCCCCTTCCTAAATCATGAGGATCAGGGTGGCTTGGTTCAGCTTGAACCCTTCTGATTACTCCTTCTTCCCTGAAAGAAGGTGTCCACAGGATTCAGTCTGTTTGGAACAGACTGTGCCATTCATTGAACTGTGCATTTTTTGGGAGAAGGATAGCAGGGACCAGCCAAGCCATGTCAGAGAAGATGAGGACAATCATGAGACAGTGATTGAGTCCTGTTTTCTTTACTGGTATAGCTGGGGTCATAGAGCCCAGAGATTCCTGCCTGATTTCCAATCATCATGAAGAGAGGAAAGGAGGGGAAAGAGTGGTCTTTGTCTTCTCTGCCAGTTTATGTGTGTGTACCTGTCTGGAAGATGCTCTGGAACAAGTGAGGGAGACAAAGTCAGTGACAACCATCCCTTTSCCCTCTGCACTCAGCTGYTCTGAGATARAARCAGTGATAAAGAACCAGTYTTCACAGGTCTGGGRTGCAGACTCTGGAAAGCTGAGTGTKGTTCARAGCAGGGGAAAGAGCTCTCCGCAGCCTGTGTATGGCCTGTGTTACTGTCAGCCCGTACTGTTTAAGGATAACACAGAAAATAGATGAGCCCTAAAAGTGTTCTCTGTTACGGAGTTTTCTCTTAAGGAGGRTTTTCATTAGTTTGACTGAAGCCACTCACTGGAGTAAAATGAGCTGTAAATAAACAGGCAGGAATTTTTAATTCCACAGGTTATGTTCAGAGACATTAAAATTCTATTATGGCATATTTGATATGAAGAGCTTCAGAGGATAATTGTTCAATGGGTTTTCATCAAATCATTAGCTGGTGATTAAATTTTAGTTTTGTGATATAAGGTAAAGACTAATTATTTTCATTTTCTTCTTCAGGATTTCTTCCGGCACTTACCTCATTGGATCCAGCAGCACACAGCCATGAATGATGCTGGTAATTTTCTGATTGAAACATGTGACGAGACCATTTCCAGAGATCTTAAACAGCAGCTTCTGTTGCTAAATGGAAGGTGGAGGGAATTGTTTATGCAAGTTAAGCAGGTAATTTTGCTCTTACTACTTTTTAATATTTGGTTTGTCATTTCCATGCAAGCAAGACAGATTACACTGTTAGCAGAACTATAGGACAACTTACTTAAGTGTCTAACTGTTCATCAGTATTTAAATTAGAAATTACTTCTTGACAGTAATTTATGTTATTTGGGCTCTTCCTTTAGTTACCTTTTTGATTATACAGCTGTTTTGGGAGAGGTGGGGTGGTGGTGTACGTTTTCAATCTGTACAAAGTATAGCTTTTCATTATGGTCAYCTGTCTTGATACAGTGAATGTTATTTATACATAACCTCTACTATTCTACCAAGAAAATGACTGGTTTTCAATACTTATTATTATTGTAAAAGCTCTTTAAAGCTAAACAGTAAAAATGGTGAAAATGATAACTTTTACTACTCTGATGAAAGCTCCTTCCAATTATTGTCCTGCAACCATAAAGGAGGGACAATAATTAAATAATGAACTAAATGTTCTCCCCATATTGGTCAGATTTTAGATTTTACTTCTATCTTGCCTGTAAGCCAGCTCTGATAGCAAACAAATTAACATACCCTTTAGCTCATGTAAGAGATTTAACTGATACAAAATGAATTGYTGTTTCTGTATTTGCTCTTTAAAAATTAAAGAAAAGATGCAATCTTAATTATACAGAAGTGTTTCATGCCTCATAAACACACTAGAAAATATCTTTGTTACAGTCAATATACATCTATTGATAATGTCCCTTTTCAGTGATTTTAAATAGCAGTTGCCTGTTTGAAGGTAATGAATTTGTTTTCTTTACTGGCATCATTATCTCCTATGCAGTCAAGTTAAAAGGAAGAGCAAATATTAATTGGCTCCCTTTTATTGTATCTCTTCCAGACTGTTGACAAGAATGTTCTCAAGCTTTACTTGCTGATGCTATTTAGGGTGATTCACTGATGTAAATTTCTCTTCCCCTACTTATGCAGCTTCCTTCATATGTTGTCTGTGTGGGTTTTTTATCACTGGCTTTTTCACCATTTCTGTCATACAGCTCCTTCTACTTTCTAAGATGTGTTTCCTCTTCCTCTGGCCAGSATTCCTTAAATATAATCTCCCTTATCCTTAAGCTTTTCTAGGCTTTTCATTTTCTGTTCTCTTTGCTGAATTTTCAAAATTGATATTGTAGGTAGTGAAAACTSAGTTTTTGATTGTAGGGTAGAAACAAATGAGTCTGGCATTCCCCGGATTTTAAAAGAGGCTGACCTCTTGTATGCACGCTGTTCATTTTAGCACCATTACTGTTGAAACTAATGCGGATGATTCGTTTAGAAATTTGGTTTCCATTATATTGTATTGCATTGAATATAATTTTTTTCCAGGAAAAATTTTCATGAAACAATGCTAATTCTCTTAAATCATTACTTAATTGCTAGACATGTAATTTGGGCTGGGGGGTTTGTTGGGTTTTTCTTTCCTTTTTCTAGTATGCTCGAGCRGATGAACTGGACAAAATTAAGAAGGAATATGTGGATGGCATTGCCCATTTGACAGCTTTCATTGATGGAAGCAATAAGAAATTTTCAACCCCTGTAGAAGTGTCCTTTCTTGATGTCAAAACATTTGTACAAGATTTGGAAGTAAGTTTCTTCCCTTAGTTTCCTTCTTCCTCCTTCAAAAGAAACAAATTTGCAACTATTTGGTTTTGATAGCATAAAATTATTTCAGTTTATATTCCCATTATTAATTGGGGTTTTTTACCAGTGTATGATTTTACCAGTTTGTATTATTTCAGYTATAGCTGAAATATATATCAGCGTATTCTATTAGTGGCATTTTTAAATTTCTGAAGCAGTGTCTCACTAGCTATTTCTTTCTTTGTAGTTTCAAATCACATTCAGGTGAGTTGACTGATACTCTTTGGCTCAGTTTTCATGCTTTTGAAATATGATCCAGTGTTCACTAACATCAGTGATGAAAATAATTGATAATTAGAATATATAACATTTAGCAGTCTTTTGTCTCCCATGAATATATAAATASCCTTGTTGAAYTTWTTTTTTTTTWAACACTAATTTCAGAATATTAAGCAGAAATTGCCTGCAATGGAAGCTCAGTACAAAGCAGTTACAAGAACAGCACAACTTGTTACAAAAGAAGTTTCCCAAGAGGAAGCGAATGAAATGATGGGAACTTTGACACGCCTCAAAGAGCAGCTCAGCAAGGTTGCAGAATACTTTTTTTACTACACGTTGTTGACTGTTGAACTAATAAATAGTAGTCCTCTGTAYATAAATTCTATATATATTCTATAAATATGTACATAAATACATATGTGCCTTTGAACAAATATATAGTTGTAAAAAATAGATTGAATCAGGGTGGAAAAGATGTTATTTCACTTAAATGGTAAGACTACGATCCTTACACTTAATACTCTTTTCTTTAAGAAGTTGCACAGGATCAGGACTGCTCTATCTTTTAAAAGAGTAGGTAGCAACTATATAAACCTACAATCAGAAGAAGTTGCTATTTATTCAATTTTGCAACATTTTAAATAACTATTTTTCTTGACCAAAAGGTTAAGGAGTATTCCTGTGCCCTGCTCTATGAATGCCAACGTCTGCTGTCKCCACTGGAAGAACTGGAGAAACAAATCACACATTTTTATGAATCTCTTGAAAAAGTCAATGAAATAATTTCTATCCAGGATCCTGAAGCACATCCCACAAGTGTTCTTAAGCAAAAAGCCCAAGTAAGTTTCAAAAACATCTTATAAAGGTCTGCTGCCTCTGAGTATTTACAATTATATTCCTAGGAATTTGGATTGYAACTCTGTAAGCTGAGCAGATATTTCTTCACATTCAGGCAACAGATACAGCTTTATCCCAAAGTCAGCTAGGTCTAAATATAAAAAGATTAAAACTTGTGTTCCTATCTAGTGTCCTTGGTTTTAATCCAAGAAGCAAACACTTTTTTTTTTTTTTTTTTAAATTGGACAGATGTGTGAGAACTCCATGGGATTTTTATATTAAGCAGATGAAAAATTGTGATCAGAAACTTCTCRAAGTTTCCTCAGACAATTATGGAAGTTTCTTAAAGGCTTGGAAAAGTGGTTTCTTTGAAGTGAATTGTAGCATAACATTAACTTTTCTACATGGCCAATAAGCATTTCTCTCTGGAGGAATTCAGAGCTAGTCAGAACTTGCTTGGAAAGTTCCATGAAAATARGATTTTTAAAACCTTTTTTCAGCCCATTCTACTCCATGCATGTTTTATTTTTCTCTCTTTTTAAAATTATAATGCTCATTACTTAGTGTGATTTATAATGAAATCTGAATTCCAAAGACTGACATGAAGGATTAATTTGTTGAAAGGCAAGGAAGGTTGAGATCTCAGCCTGATACTGAGAGCTGTCATTCCTATGTCTATTGATTTCACTCTTGCCTACTCGCAGTTACACAAAAAATATAGAAATATAGTAAAATTAAATCCCAGAACAATGTATTGAACTACATTCTGTACAGCTACCCAAAGGACTTGGGTACATGTCTGCGTATTGTTTTATTAGCTAGAGAYCTATTTGGGTACAGGACTTTTCATTCAAGGAGAAAGTTGTGTCCTCTGTTATTCCATATAATATTTGTGTAGTCTGTTTGCCGTGGTCCTTTGATCTCATCCTATTTGTCCCTATTTTCAAAAAGCTGATGTCCTGTTATTTTGCCAAACCTTTCTTCTCTTTGTTCCTGTTCAGGGTGGATATATGTTTTTTTMTTTCAGGATTTGGTGGCTTATCAAGAAAACTGCAAGAAAGATGTGTCCCTGATTGAGAGAAATAGTCAGAGTATCCTTCAGTGTGTGGCTTCAACTGAAGTGTTGCAGCATTTCCATCAGTCAACATTTCAGAAGAAAGTTACACAAGTTCAGATTACTTTCCAGGTAAAAATACCATACCTTGGTGCATATTTTTAAAAATTTGTTGATATGGTATGATCCATCCTACTGTACCTACATTTCCTGTAGCTACTGTCATGGATAACTCTCCTCTCTGATWTCAAGTTTTTAATGAAATATTTGTCTTCATTAGGTAATAAATAGTCAGGGGACTGACAGTCATGTTCTCCCTGCACTTACTCAGAGGTGAGCCTGCCACAGAGGAACCTGGGATTTWAAAGAACTTTCACATACCTCAGGCTCCTTTGGATGGAGGAACCTGAAATCCAACTGTTAGGGCTGCACTGGTTTTTGTTTCTCCTGACTTTATTATCTTGGCTAATTACTTGCTTCTATATTCCCACATGTCCCTTTTCACATAAAGCATGGAAGATGGAAAACTTGGCACATGCTACTGTTGCTGGGCTTTGTATTTCCTCAGAAAATGCAAGGGATTATGAATATAGAAAGCTGCAAATATATTACATTTGTTAATGCAAAGATGTGGCCTTCGGACTATATTCCCCCTCAGCTGTTGTTATTATCAATTATTACTGATATTTTCGGGGCTGTTCAGACCCAGTCTAGCCCCACTCTAATGAGAAATTAGCCATCACACATGGTGTGATTTTTTTGGAGGTTTTGGTTTTTTTTCAAAGCCAGAAATGAGCTCAATGATCTTTATGTGTCAGTTCAAACTGAGCATATTCAATAATTGTGTCTGTCTTAGCGTCAAATCTCCACATAATGGGTTCTGTTACATTTATTTTCAGGCRATTATTGTTCAGGATAAAGCTTTCTAAACTGAGTTTTAAACTACAGAAAATYCCYAGTAAATAGCTCTCTCTGAGAGGTWAATTTCAAAATTTGTATTGTATGATGTGRGGTGTACCTGAAGATAAGTGGTGGCTGATTTATAATGTAGATATAATTATTTAAGTTCAGGTTATTGTAACAAAAGTAGATGCACTTGTAACTTGGTAAATTTACCATGTTTAACATTAATTACTCTGCTTTTGTAAAGTTGGATGGTTGTTTATCTCTTTTTGTGTTAGAAAAGAAACCTATAAAATAGGGTGTAGTCATATGAAGTGTGACATACCTAGAGTTAAAATATTGGAAACTGGCAGTTTTTAATGTGAAGAATACATGCCTGAAAAGATTATATTATTATGCAGATATTTTTATCGGAAAGCTTTAAAAAGATTTAGCAAGACGTTTAAATTGAGAACTACAGATTTAATTAGCTCTCTGGGTAAAATCACTGCAAGTCCTTACGCAGAGGCTTGTAATCAGTGAGGATGGTGAAGCGGAGGTGCAGTGAGCAGTGTTTCAAGTACCTTGTAGCTGTTAAAGTGCTGAACTGTTCATTTGTCATGGTAAGTTTTCTTGCTTGCTCATGAAATTGTAACCACTGAGTATTGCAGTGCATGGGGACATACTAAAAAGAAGACAAAAGGGAGAGCTGTGACTAAGGTTGCAAAATAAGGATTTCAGCAACTAAACCACAAAATTTGCTGWCTTCTAAGCAGCTTTGTGCCTGGTTACTTCTCTGACAGACTAATKTGATAATCATACAAACCTCTTCCAGGTCAGAAGAGCTGTAGCATGGGCCTGGTTGGATCCATGAGTCAAACCACCCTCACTTCAAGTCGTGTTAGGGAGAGGTTGTTTGATGCTAGAAAAAATGAAAACTAGCGGTCGTACCAGGTGCTTAACATTTGAAAGCAGGTTTTGGAACAGGTACTCACTAATCAAATGACAAAGGCATTCTGAAAATATCAGAGAYATCTAATCTTCTAATTTTTGTTTGAATGATGACATTAGCACAAGCCTCAGTATTAAAAACTGGGAAAATGGGAGCATGAGAGGAAGAAGCATGGTGAAAAGCATATATTTGAAAGAGTGACACAACTTAAATGCATGTTTTGTAAGATCATGGTAAAAGACAGCAAATATAAATCAGTGTGAAAGTGCCAGCTCATTTTCTTTGCTTGTAACTCAGAATATGGTCAGGAAAGCTGGTGAGTGGAGAAAAAACATAGAAGCAAATAGCCGTTTGATGAAGAAATTTGAGGAGTCTAGAGCAGAACTGGAGAAAGTAATACAGATTGCCAATTGTTGCTTAAAAGAAAAAGGAAATCCTGAAGAACTTCTCAGGAAACATAGCGTGAGTAAATTCTCTGACCTTCCTCATGGAAATCTTTGAGTGCATGACATACAAGTGAAAAGCCTACTTAATTCTAAAATCGATGTGGATTTCTTGCTTGCGTAGAAGTTATGCAGATCAGGACAAACTGTTAAGATTGAAAAACAAAAAGGAAAACAAACAGCTCTCTTAATTAAGTTTGGATGTAAGCAACCCCATAGAAATTAGGGTGAGGTCTTCAGTAGGACCACTGAGAGTTAAACCACTATATTTTGACACTCTGACACTTCCACTGTTCTTTTTTAAAAATTAGTATCTGTGTCTGTATTAGAACCGTAACTTATGCATGTAGCTTTGAAATGTATTCTTGTTAMCATATCATTTCAGTGAGAATAAATTAATTTGATTAACTTGAAGTGGCTAGAAATAGTTATTTCCTTAGCTCAAATGTCAGTTCGTCAATGCAACAGAAGTTACATTGAAACTTAGAGAGTGTGTTAGGAAACTTCATGTTGGGAGGTTACCGTATCAATAAYCAGAATTACATTTTCTCACCTTCTCACTTTCTGCCTCCACTTCAGGAATTTTTTAACCAGTTGGATCAGAGAGTCCTAAATGCCTTTCTGAAAGCTTGTGATGAACTTACTGACATCCTTCCGGAACAAGAGCAACACAGCCTGCAGGAAGCTGTGAGGAAACTCCATAGGCAGTGGAAGGTTAGTGAATGATGTCTCTGGATACTGTAAATCTTAGTTTTGGAAGGCTTCTGTATGATCTGTATATTGAAAAAAAAAAAAACTAATATAAAAAGAAACAAATAATTTGTATTATTTGACTTCCTACACAATTGGTAAAAAAGAAAAAAATAGTATTTTACAATGTTAGATACCACTATACCTACAAATAGCCTCTTTAAAAAAACCTGTTAAGTCAAGAAATGTGAAAAATTAATTATAAAACCTTATTTCCTCCCCATCATACAGCCATAATGATATTTGTGTCAAGAGCATTTCTTAAGAATAGGTGCTAGGTTTTTTTCCTTTATGTTGCTGTTGGATGATTACAGTTACTTGCCCAACCAAAGTAAACAAATCTGTAAAATATCAGGCTATCAGCTTAAATTGTGTCCTCTGCCAAAGACTCTACAACTGAACTAGCTTTGCTCAACAGCTATGGAATTTTTTGCCTGCYACAGCTGGAGTGATGGATGAGTGGTCTCACTAATAGGCAGGCAGAAATCTCTGGAAGCAGTTTTGAATACTATTTTATACAGGAAATACTTGCTCTATCTTGCCTAAAATGAAGAGATCTGTAGTGTGCTTGATACATACACTTTTGGATTACAACTTAAGCGCTTATGATAAATCTAAGACATTGGTAACAAAGTGAACAGGAACAAACCCCTATTTCATACACATAATGTTTTATTATCAGGTTTTAGATAATTTATTTGTAACAACTTTGCACTGAGGTAATGGGAGTAATTTTATCTCTGTGTTTCTTTATTGCCCCTGTGATTACACAGGATCTCCAAACAGAAGCCCCATATCATTTGATCCACTTGAAAATTGAAGTACAGAAAAGCAAGTTCCTGGTGACAGTGGAGGAGTGCAAAGCTGAACTAGCTCGGCAGAACAAGGTGTTATCAAGAGAAGGCAATGAAAAAATGATCAAGGAACACATGGTATGAATTATGTGCCTTCATGGGGACATTTGCAGGAATACATTTCMATGTCAGTAAAAACCAGAAGTTCTGACTAAATCTTAGGCCACCAAACACTTTGTGTCCAACTTATGTCAGATCAATTCTTGAGGTCTTTAACAAAAAAAAATATTTTAARTTAGTAGTTTAGGAAAAATATACAGATACGCTTCATGATTTCTTCCAGTTTGTATTTTTATTTAATTTTTTGCTTTGTCTCCCATCAGTTGTTCTTTGGTGATAAGGGATCTTACCACCTGTGTGAGAAAAGGCTACAACGAATTGAAGAACTGTGCCAAAAACTGCCCGTTTCTGATCCAGTGAGGGGTACATTGGAAAGCAGCCAGCGAATMCTGAAGGATCTGAAATCCCAGATAGACAGCACATACATAAAGCTGACAGAGCACTCGGACACCTGGAAGGGCTATAAGAGCAGGTGTCAGCTCACTTCCTACTGGGTCTTGCAGAGCCTTGTGCATGGTCACTCCTCTATGTGTCATCATAGATCAGTGCCATGTGAAGAATGATACTGTAGAAAACTACACTTCATGCAGTAATGCCACAAATTATAGTGGGACTTTGGGTGGATTTTATAATTTTTTGCAAACATTTATGAGTTTATAGTTTGGTGATGGCAATTTTTGTCTAACCTTTTTCTTTTTTTTTTTTTTTTTTTTTTTTTTTTTTTTTTTTTTTTTTTTTTTTTTTTTTTTTTTTTTGCATCGTGTCATGTGTTATTTCAGATTTTCTGAATTGGCAAATTGGATTTCATCAACAGAAAGAGAGCTAAAGAAGATAAAGGAAAATGTTAATGACACTGCCAAATACAAGCAGTGTAAAGCATCTGTGGGGGTAAGCCTTTGGCTTRTATTCTAACAAAACTGTGGTCATTGTTACTGGGACTGGATAAAATTGTATTCTAAAGAAGTGCAACTGTTCTACTATGGAAAGCATAGTAGCTGTGCTGCTTCCTGGTATTCTTAAAAACATTACCAGGAGAAAGCTGCATATGCAGCGAAGTGTGGCCACTGTTCCTACTTTTAAGAGTTTGGAGAGTGACAAGTCCCTTTCCCTCTCTGTTTAGAACATTGAAAAAATAGGGATTGATAGAATAAATATGTGCCTCTCATCTTACTGCATGCAAAATTAAAAGTTCTGCTCAAAGAAATGCCGAAATTTCTGGAGGGCACGTTTTTGAATAATCTTTCATTCAGCTACATCCATTATAGAACATCTGTTAYAAAAATTCGCTTCTGCAATAGTATAACAGGAGAGGAAAAAATACTTTACCATTCACTTTTGCACTGGTATATGTAACAGAGTGATAGAATAGCTGAAGATTGATTTGGTTAGTTAAAAACATATATGTGGTACCTGCTTTCTACCTATCCATCTCTCTGCCTGTATGTAAAAATGTTTGTGAAGGAAAAGTACTCCACTGGTACTTACTAAAGAGTAGTCTAATTAGTAATGGAGCAAAGTCTGTGGAAGAAGAGCAAAATTCCAGCCATTGACTGGAACAGAATCTGATAGGGTATGCAAATAGAGGAATAYTACATTTCTAGTGTTTCAAGATAAAACAAAAGTAGTATTTTACACTACTAATCTTTGAACTGATGCCATGGATGTCAGTTATTGATGCATGCATGTTTTGKTTTTTTTCTGTAGGAAATTAGGAAGCACATTCACAAGCATGGAGAAAATCACAGCTGGCTGAAATCTAGAATTGCTGTTTTGACTGCACTATGTCCTGATTTGGAGGCCAAAGAGACAGARGATGAGCTCTGTAAACTTTCCAGTGACTTCAAGAGACTTTTAGATTTGCTGTCTGAGGTACAGTATGAGGGACACAAGAACTCTGCGTTTGCAGTGTCACATGAAATGACATCAATCATTGCTTCACAGGCACAAGTTCCCTGCTGTGTTTTTTTAATTAAACTGCAAGCCTTCAGCAAGGAAAAATTAATTTGTACTCCAYGGGTAGCAAAGCACTGAGAGTAGCAAGCAAAAAATACTGACATTATTTTAGTGGATCTTTTACCTTTACAGAATTGGAAAGTATCATAGTAAATGTTTCTGGAATCAAAGTGTCCATATTTCTAGGTTTTTTAACCCCTTTGTAGTGCAYATTATTAAAGCCATGATCTACATCAGCTAGTGGATACAAAATTTCCTTTTAATCTTGGTTTATTTATCGTCTGTGCTGAAATAAAGCACTACTTCGAGGTCATTTCTAGTCATTACGGAGGGTATCACACCCTGAATTTGCCAGAAAAAGGCTGCCCTTCTCTGAGGCCTCAATGAAAATAAAATAATGTAATTGCAGAAATAATGGGAAATTTCTAACTCATAACAGCAAAACTTCTCAGAGCCACTGACCCTTGAGTTCTGTGGGCTCTCAGGGARCTTACTGGTTCACAGTTTATACAGTTAAAAGAAAAATCAGGTGAAACTTGGAGCATCTTGCACTTAAAAGGTGAAATAGACCCATTTCAAAAATGAAAAAAAGAGTTCAGGGAGAGAAACAGTTCAGAGTTCAGACTTCAAATTTCATTGCTAATGTGAGCTTTTGTTGAGGCCTTATATGGGTTTCAGATGTATAAAAGTTCTGTGTATTTATTGAAATTTCTCTAAACTTTTGTGGTGTGAAAACTGGTTGGAAAGTTTGGGCAAGAAATTTGATTTCCAACTGACTGTAAAAAGCTTAAGGTACTATCTTTTTTTTTTTTTTTTTTTTTTTNCTTTTTGTTTCCTCTAAAAGTCAGAACTAAGGAGAAGTTAATGAAGTAACAAAAGAAAATAAGAGGTCGAATGTGTACTTGGTTTGAATCTAAAAGCATAATCKAAATGGCACTATATATAATAGTTGTGACTACTGATTCTTAAAAGCCTGAATACTATTTATAAAGCTTGTTAATCAGATGGATGAGACTGTTTAGATAAGGACTGATACTGGATATTTCCAGAGTTCAGCAATGTTTTTGGAGAGTAAAAATGAAACATTTATATAGTAGGAAAGTGAATGGCTTTAATTTGAATGACTCTACAAAGTGAAAAAAGTAAAAAAGGGAAGGAAAGGAAAAGGGAAAAGAAAGGAAAAGGATCTAGAATACTTTATAATTAAAACTTTAATTATATGCACATTGTGGTCCATAAAAGCAGGGTAATTGAGCACTTTAATGTGTTTGTGATTCACCAAAACACTGCTCAAGACAGTCCAAATGGCAGCAGAATTTTTTTGTGGGTGGAGTAGCACAGGTGTTTCAGAATGTGGATCAGCTTGSAAGGATTAGGAGAGAGTGTATATTTTCTAAATGATCACCAATAAGTATCTGTCACTCATGGCTATTTGTCATACAGGAATGTAATAGGATGTTCCTACCAGATAAAGCTCCCCTCAGTTACATTTAAAGTATAAAGACACTTTCTCAATGTAAAGTTAAAGGTGTTCAAGAATGCTGGAGATAAAAATTACTGTATTTTTTAAAAAATATTCCAAATATAAATGTACCCTTACAATACAGATGTGTCTTTCAACATGAAATACTTAAAGTTATCTGTAATTGTAGATTGAAAATACTTTAGGCGCTGTTGGAGACTGTGTCCAGTACAAAGAAGAAGTTAAAAGTGCAATAGAAGAGTTGATCAACAACTCTAAAGAAGTTCAAGCAGAGGCTGAAAAGATCCTGGATACAGAAAGTTTGTTACAAGCTCAGCAATTACTGCTTCATCATCAGGTAGAGCAATTACTCATGTCCATATCAATTCTTTCAAAAAAAGAAGAATTACAAAATTTTGTTATGTCCACTAACATAAGTCTTTATATTTAAACTTGGAAGAGTTATAAAGAAAGCAGTCCTGTATGGACTAGTCTTGATTTTGTTTAATGAAAAATGTTTTCATTATTTTTCAAATGTTAAGTGTTAACTTTTATTTCATATGGAGTTTTGGGCACAAGAAGCCTGAAAAGCAAGCTTCATTCACTTTAAATTTTGGGTAAGTGTACTCTGCAAATATGTTGACTCTTTTTACCTTTTTAAAACCTGAATTTCAGATTCAATCATGGTAAATTGGGCACAGTTCTGGCTTTGGAAATTTCTCTATTTTAGCAGTTTAATGTGGCCCCAACTCTAAATCTTGGAGGAAAGGTGTTCCTCCAGCTTTATCTCCTTCTGTGGATAGCTGTTGTTCTGACAGATGGCTCTCCATTCTGTAGGAGTARAACAGGAGGTTTTTATGCACTGATAACAAATCAAAACATCTACAGGCTACAGTAATAATCAATGATACGGCTTGCATGCAACAAGAATCATGGCTTTTAAGGCCAAATATGGGAAATTAACTTTGTGAGCTGCTCAAAGCCAGAGAATGGGAAAAATTTGCTGCCAGTGTTTGGGCATGATTGTTTTATATTAACATCACTTTCTGTGGAGTTAGACAACTTATTGTCTGACTGAGCACTGCCAAGCCTTATCTGTGTCTTATCTAAACTCTTTGGTGTTTGAAAGCACTGTTGTATGTGTCAAAGTTTGTATTCATTCTTCAAATACTCTGCATTCCTTATCCATTTTAGCAGAAGTAGTAGAAATAGTTAACTTCTCCCTGAGTTCTTTTTCTTGTGATATGGAGTCTGTCAAGGTAGAAACAGATTTTAACACAGACCTGAAGGTACCCAGAGTAGTACTGAGCTGGCTATGAGTTTACCTAGAAAGGCTGGCATGGGTCAGGCATGTTAGAAAGGAGAGAGAATGTATTCTTAGGAGTTTCTGATAGTGCTACAAATGAAAAACATGAAAACATGTCCAGGACAGAGCTACACCATCTTAGCCAATCTCCTGCTGCTCTCTAATAAGGCTGATACATTGCTTTGTTCAGTCTGAGGCTCCAACTGTGCCTCAAGYGTGCAGAGCAGACCTGGGTGCAGCCATGAGGAATACGTGCACCTGTGACTCCTGCTCTGGTTGCTTATCTGCTGCAGCTTCTGCTTTCTCAAATATGCTTTGGATAAATGGCCACGTTTTCTCTCTTTTTCTGTCATTCATATACCACAAACGTAGCATTTGATATTTTGGAAGTCAAGGCATGTATTTGACTGAGCATGTGAGACTCTCAAGAATACTCACCCCAGTTTATCCCTTTGTTACTCTCATTGCTTACCCCTGAAAACCAGAAAGGGGCTGCATCGTGCCAGTTTCCCAAAGGGGCTAAAAAGTCTAATAATTACTGTTGGATGAATCCTTTTAGCAAAGGACAAGGAGACTCCGTGCAAAAAGGCAAGATGTGCAGAAGCAGATTTCCCAAGCCAAGYGGTTGCAGATCGAAGGTGGACTGCCCAGCACAGTACGAGAGGATTTACAAAAGTTAGAGGGAACACTGGAGAACATGCAGCAGACTATGGAGAAACGGGAAGAGCAACTGCAGGTGAGTCCTTTGCACATGGAAATAGGACCTCATGCTTTTTCGTTCCTCTTTTTGGTTTTTTTTTTTTTTGTTTGGTTGTTGTTTTTTTTTTTTTTTTTTTTTTTTTAAAGAATTTATTTTTTCAAAAAAATTTTTTTTTTTTTTTTTTTTTTTTTTGACTTAAGAGAACTCAGTTTCTCACCTCTGACTCTTGGTCTTAGGGGTTTTTATTGATCAGTACCTCTGTGAAAACTTCCTGAAGCTATTGTATACTTCTTAAATAATAAAGAAATAGCATTCTATCTGGAAGTGTTTAAAAGTCCCAACTATTCAGTCATAATAGTTAACAGTTTTAAAATAATTTATCTGTGAATTAATTTTTAAATGATGTTTCTCTCCTGATTACTGAAGATGACATTGCTCTTTAATTGAGTGTCCTTAGACTGGATATTGGGTTAATAATGAGCGAATATAATCCTCACCACTACTGTGTGAAATACGTGCTGGGATCCTAAATTTAAAGAAGGAAGGAAAATGTCACAGAGAAATCAAATGGATTGCTTGAGCTTGTAAAACTAATCACTGACTGAACTGGGATTTGAATTTATAGCTTCTTGCACCCATATGTGATTTTCTCTTTACAGTTTTCTAAGCAGAATGTCAATACAAATGACCACTATTCCATGCAAATATTTAGTCACCCAAACGATTTCCCATGAGAAAACAGAAGATGAGAAATAGGATCATTAAACCGCAAATAACTTCTTAATGTTGGCATTTGTTATTGAAATACATTTTTTCTCTAAGAATTCCCATATATGAAGTCTTAAGCTCTGCTTCAGAATAAAGAAAACAATTGTTTAAGCTTTCACATTTCTTGTGATTGGTAATTAAATGCTATATGTTAATCAAAATCCTACATTATCAGAAAAGAGCAAATAGGTCCTTATGTGTGATTTTGCTATGAGTAGGGATTTTTTTCTACCATTTTACTGTAATTTATTTCATTAAAGAACTTGAAAATCCTTTTAGATATTTTTTGACTACTTGTCATCATAAGCCTCTGGATGTATTACTTCAGACTTCTTATGGACATTCAAATATAAGACTTAAATGTTGMTGGCTACTTAGAGAATAATGCTTTTTTAGCATTGCACAGTATGAATCAGTGAAGATTCAAGGAAAAAGGTTTTTTTTTTGTTTAGAACAGTTTCATCTGTTCACTGTTGAGTAGATGGCTTTGCAGGAAATATTTTATGTCAAGACTTTCTCTTTTTTCCTTTTTCTGTAACATACAATGAAAATATTATTTTCTCCCCTTTGATCTCCCTCTGTTCCTCTTTTGGTTTTGTTTGTCTGTTTTTTAGGTCACAATAAATAAATGGGAGCAGTTTGAAAGAGACAAAGAAACGGTAGTAAAATACCTCAATCAAGCAAGCTCTGTGCTTGAGCGTATCTTAAACTTTAGCAGTTTAGAGAGCCTCTCCTCAGAACTGGATCAGACAAAGGTATTGCCTGTGTGAAATGCAGGAACTGAGGTATCTTTCTGCCTTGTTGACATGTGCTGAGTATATTGCCTTCAATTTTTGCATGGTTTCCTGTGTTTGCCAGTGCAAATTGCCTATACAGGGGAGAGACTGCATGAACTGTTTAGAGGTAAAAAGTCATTTTATGAAAAGAAAAAAAAAAAAAAAACAAACCCCGGGAAGGATTTCTCAAAGTCTGCATCTGAACCATACATATGAAAGTCAGAATGGTTTTGAGGAATTCCCATTTCCTGCTTGATAATCACCTATGCTGATAATCCAGTGTCAAGCRCTTGAATATCAACATTAATCGGGTGTACTTTGGCAACAGTGTGTGGAATGTGAAAAATAACAGTTTTAGCCCTGGGAAGAAAAAAGGAGAGATTTCTACCCCATGGAAACAAGCCATAACATGCCATTTGCCCTGCTTAACACAGAATTATCCCAGCTGATTTTATTTACTACTRCAGAAGTAATAATAGCACTTGGTTTTCCTGAGTGCCATGGTTTACAAACTGCATTTAGCCTTTTATGAAGGCAATAATAAATTATACCTATCTTGATTATGTTCAGCATTGATTGTTCTGGTGTGTGGGTTTAATATTTGTGACAGAAAATAGTTGCCAAATGAAGTGAAAATACAAAATAGGAGGTATTGTAAAATCCACTTCGTAAATGGTAGGATTTAAAAATTAAAGATGCATATTATCTTCTGCAATGCAAAAATAAATTTCTTAAAGCRCTGTAGAAGATACTTTGATTTTTTGAGTTAAAGACTTTTGCGCATGTAGCTTCCCTTGATAWATTTAATTCAATCTAGTTTGCTCAAATGATCTTTTTTTTTTTAAATGCAACATAAATTTAACTTTCTTCAGAGATTGTTTTTTATGTATTTACACATTGAAAATATACATGCAGGACACATGTACTTTTTCCAACCATAGACATTGAGGAAAAATACTTTTTGTGTAACTATATGAAACTCTTTATAGCTGTATTAATATGTCTTGCATCTTTACAGGAACTTTCTAAACAAACTGAAGCAATGGCAGTACAGGCTGAGAATTTGGTGAAGAATTCCTCTGAGATACAGCTTGGTTCAAAGAACAAGCAGTCCCTTCAGCATCAGGCAAAATCAATCCAAGAACAAGTGAAAAAAGTGGAAGTTACTCTTGAAGAAGAGTATGTCCTAAACAAGTCCTAATATTTATTCTTCACTATAAGATTGTATCAGATTTCTAGAATACCTTGTCAAAATTTTGTTTTGTCTCATCAGCCCTGTCATTTACTGCTTGCTCTGGCATAGTAACCCAGTTATGGTACCAAATATGTCAAAAGAGTGTGTGCAAACAAGCAAAGCATTTTCTTTTAATAATATGTAGTTCATAAGAGTTAGTTACRTTTAACCTGTCACTTACCTTTAACCCCCAGTATTGTGAAGAAGGGATAATTGAGCTCATTCTTGAGGTACTGTACTCTTTTGGAAAGAAAAATCTCAGTTCAAGTATTAGAGCAGCACATTTACCACATTTGCCTGAGTTTTCACTTTTTCAGAGTCTCTATAGGGGTGTCAAGAAGTGCCTTCATCTTAGCTGAATGCCCAGATTATACTTCACGGGCAATATCAAAATTTGCTCCTGCTGCAAATAAAACAAGGGCATCATTTCCCAGATTTTGTTTAAAAAGTAAAGATTCAAACCCCAAGGGAAGCTTGATAAATATTTGTAGTTTTTTGTATTTTTAAAAATTTCATGCCTTCTCTTAAGTAGTTAATTCAGTTATTGAACCTGTTAGTCAGATTCAGAAAGTTGGTATTGTCTTTTTATCCCTATACACATATGTTTGTGTATATGTATGAAATCAATATTTTTGCATACATTAGATCTGATACATAAGTCATAGAGAATATGATCAAAGGGCAGTGCCCAAATAATTGAGGGTTTTTTTCCCCGTAATGACCACTGTCATGCTAATCTGATTTTAATTTAGTGCCATTTTCTTCCTCATGTGAAAGAACAGCGATAAACCAGAATAACTAGCCTGAGCAGCAAATGGTGATCTGACTTTTTATATAATACTTTCTCCAATATGAAATGTTAGTGATTTGCAGTCAGATATTACCATTTCTTACTGAATACTTTACACATAATTTTCTCTACTATTAGAGAGAAAACTAGTGTGATTTTTCAATCCAAGAAATTTACCTTTTCCAACAATGAGTATTCACTTTTTAAATAAGTAATCTATTTTGAAATGAAAGTCATCATTTATATACCCTTTCAATGTAGATATGAAATAGGTTTTAGTTGAATGTATGGATTATACAGAATGTCTGTGGTAGTGTAACAGATAATGCTAAATACCTTCTGTAAAAACATGCAAGTACATACAACTCTCTATAGTGTATCTACAGAATTTATACTAAGTGTGCAAGGGTTATATTTTAACTTGCATCATCAAGAAAATCTTGGCCCAAGTAATTTTTAATGTGAAGGTATTCCAAATACGTAAGGTACAAAATATGCCAGTGAACAGGAAAAGGAGAGAAAAGTTTGAGAAACTCTGCACAGTCAGCTACAGMAAGGACTTAGCCCATCTGTTTTCCAAGGAGATCATGCCTAGCTGTGCAGTGTGTGTGGGATTATATTCTTTACAGTCTGTGGCTCTCCTAAAACTATGACAAAGACATACAGCAGCAGTTTTGCCACTGATTTGCTCCCTTGATTCTGATTTTCAGCTGTATTTTCATGGGCTGAACTTGAGTCACATATTTTTGCACATTGTTTTCCTACAAATAACTTGAATTTGCATACACTCTTATACATCAGTAAATGGCTGTTGACATTCCTATTTTTTTTTTCATTTTGAAAATAAATAAGAAAAAATAAAAAGGCCAATTTTTACATTTTTAGGCTACATCTTTTCTTAAAGCTTCCTTTAGCTTTAATGAGGGAAGGGGAAAGTTGAACTTTTTACCATGGAATGGTTTTTAGGCTATATTTAGAAGGAAAATGTATTTTGAAATTTTGTAATATTCAAACTTTTATGATGAAACTTTACTATTTTCAATGAAATAGAAAATGTGTGTTTTGCAAGCTGTATGCAGGGCCTACATTAGCATTGGTTTCAATTACTTGAAAGGAGTGGAAACTTGTGTACTGGAAGTTAATGCTRTTAGGCCTTGTATAATGGCCTTAGACTTCTTACTTGTGACAAAAAGGTGCTTTGTTTGCAATCRTAGACATAGAAGAATCAGTCATAATCTGCCTCTGTTTAACATACCTATAATGTATGKTCCAAAGAATATAAAGCAATTAACTTTGAAGGAGCTGAGTCACATTTCCTGTTGATTCTTTGGCTTGATATGAAGTCACTGCCACAGCAAACACAAACTTCCTGTAAGATGGGGAGATTGCTGTTATAAAAAAGAAAGTTCAATAAAGCAGTCAAGCATTGGTGACTATTTGTATTTCCACATTACACTGGTTTCAATCATTCTGGTCTAGGGACTAAATTATGAAAATCTATGCACTCAGTTATCTAAATATTTAGATTTCTGATATAATCATCATTCCATATTATTTCACAGAAGTTTCATCCTGTTGATGTTCCTTTTCCTTTCTCTTCCTGCTATGAGATTCTTGTACAGCTGATGAACAAAGCTGTACTTTCTTTTACCTCTCAATGTCCCCACTATGGCTAATGCAATTTTTTGACTTTTGATRCATGGTCTAAGAGAGAGTCATGTTTGAATTTAGATGCACAACCTCTAAAAAAGGGAGTTTTTCAAATGCCCATCCTGTAGACTGAATAAGTTCCATTTTTATTTTAGCAAGAATATGGGCAGCTTCATTATATTAAATTGTTTATTCTCTCTAATTGATTTGGTTAATTTTAGTATTAAAAGCATGGAAATGGTGAAAAACAAGTGGGATCATTTTGGCAATAATTTTGAAGCTCTGTCCATCTGGATAGCTGAACAAGAAAAAGAACTGGAAACTTTGGAAACATCRTCATCTCCTTTGGACATACAGATCAGCCAAATCAAGGTGATTAGYTCTTTATGTTTGGAATTAAAAGCCCATTTATCTGTTTTTTAACTAAAGGCCAAAAGGGAGGAGAGACATTTTAAATATTTCAAAACTACCAGGATGAAATCATGTCACATTGTATACATGAACATACCAAGCAGTAAGGTCTAATATAAACAAAAGGAAAATTCTTACAGGCTGCCTTCTCTTTAAGTGTTTAGTTTACATATATGAAGTCTTTGTGTGTGTGGTTAAAAATATAATTTATGCCCTCTTTATTTTTTGAGTAATCTCAAGTGTTGTACAAAATAGCTACATATATACAAGTTTGGGTTTTTTTTTTTTTTTAAGCATACATCAGCTAGCAGCTATGGAATTTGATTTTAATCTTGCTAAAGTTATAACTTGATTTATGTATCTTTTATGCTGAATTAATAAAGAAACTATTGTTCTTGGTAGCTTGAAAACCTACATAACATTTACTGTTATTATATTTACACTGTCTCAAATTCTGTGTACGTTCCTGTGGATAAACAGTGGTTTAATTTCGAATTGATGACTGAGGTGCATATTGTCTCCAAGCATTGCATTTCAAGGGCTGACTTTGTATCCTTCCACAAAYGAAAATGTACCTTCTCTGGAACGGCATGTTTCCAAGGGTGCAGCGCTTTTCAGTAGGGAGTGCACATTTCCGTTTCCCTTTTTCTGTGACCTACTTGCTCTTCAGAAGGTGTGCAGGTGTACAGCTGCTTGCAGACCAGCCTGACCTTATTTCCAAAGGATCCCAAAAGGCACTTGTTTCATGTGACAGAAACAGTTTATCAACAGATTTCCCTGTTCTTAATTTGTTCACAGCTTTACAGAGACAAAATAAATAAAATCTCTTGACTTCATCATTGAAGAACAAAACMATGCTTGAATTCTTGTGTCATCACCACAGCAATTCAGAAACAGTTTCCTTATGAMATAATATGTATGCACTTATTCCACTAGCATGTATTACCATGTTGTCTGTCTTTTCAGTAATTAATGGACAGGATTCCAATGTTTTAAACAGAAAATAAGTGCATCAAACAATACTAATATTGCATTACAGTGTGTCAGTTCTTGTCTGTTTGAATGAAGCCTGCTTTAGCCCTACTAGCCTGTTCCAGCCAAGTTCCCAGAAAGGTTGTTCCTTACTGTAGATGCAGATAAGCAGTGGTTTTTACACTGCAGTGAAAGTTATTGAAAGTTCCATCACAATTCTTACACATTTAAACACCGCAGTCAGCAGCTGATATTTCTAAACACCTGAGTGAACAGACATGAAGCAGAGAAAATCCTCCACATGAGGCATAGGGTACGTCATTGTACCTCAGGTGAAGGAGCTTTATGAGCTGTGATATGTGAGAAAAGTTACCTCACGTGCAGTGGATGGACATAGCTCGAGGTCTACTTCTGTAGCATTGCTTTGTGCCTGATTTGGAAGAATTTGTTTTTTTATTGTAAGTTTCCTGATGAGCTACTCTGTGTCACAACACTAATCAGCATACTTCATMATTTCTGGTACACCACATTAGTAAGGAACATTTCAACATAGGGCAACTGAACAAAAAATAGTGTAATAGTGTGCTCTTTGATACCTTTGGCTGATCAGATAAAAAGCCTGGGGTCAGCTGAATGCAATAATCCTACATGGTAGTGGTAATATTCTGCTTTTGGTGACACAGATTGCAAAGCCCCAGTGACTTCAGAAGAGCCAGATTTTCACCTACAMATTTTCTCCAAAATTCCTGGTGGAACAAAATGACAGTTATCACAAGTAGTTACCATTGGTGGCAGACTCAGTGAGAGTTTGAAAGCCTCAATTATCCACCTTCTTTTATGTAACTGAGTGAATTTAACAGAATAGCGTAGGAGTGAGAAAGCACTGCCTCATTTGTATCTGCTGCATTGTTAGATAATTTCAGCTTCAGGGCTGCAAATTCAGTATTTTTCCTCAGCAACATGTTCTCATGAAAAAAAAGGTATTTTATAATCCAAATTAATTCTGAATATATTGCATAAAGAGAAACTATAAATTCTTATAGCACCACATTTTTTTCTGACAGTCACCCTGCTAATTTTTGACTGTTGCAGTAAGCCACTCCTGAGCTTTATAATGGCAAGAAAGAGACCATATTTTTATTACAATTATAGAAGAAGTTGGGCACTACCTATGCTTTGAGAGTGCATTTTCAAGAAAGTTTTTGGTTGCTTTCATATACATATGTATCTTAACACTTTTCTGTCTGAGAATGCTGCTGCTTTTTTCCATTTCAAAGAACTCACTTGAATCTTTCTAATCTCTCCCAATGGATGTTTTCCATTGCTTTTGAGAACTCATGGACATAATACATCAGCACTAATTTAAAAAAAAAATATATAAAAAAGCTTATTTCCATATTCATTGGTGCCTGATGAACAAATAGCCACTGAATGATAAATACTGTACGTTTCTTTTTGGGATGATGTAGCTGCCAGGTTTGGCTCTTACCTGTAGTAAGGGAAGTTCAAAATAATAAGAGACAGTTGCTGTCCTGCAGCTGCTGAAATGTAAAGCAAGTGTTGGTTTGTCTTTATGCATTTACTAATTGAGGTACAAGACAGATGAAAAGTGCCAAAGCCCATTATCACCCTTGTTTCATGGTTTCTATCTATACTGTAATGTGRTTCTTTATTTTATCTTCTGCCTGAAGGCATACTCAGCCTACCTTATCATCTAATTAAATTTGTCTTTTATTGTACCATAGTATTTTCAATTGGAAAATGAAAAAAATCTCTACTGTTTTTCAAATYGTGGCATGTTTTATTTTGTAAGTGCTTGAAAACCTGTTAGACATAAGTAACCATCTATTACGGTTCAGCTTCTTAACAATACTTTTCCAGTTATACAGTCACATTTTTTCATCTTCTGTTTATTTTGAATCTTAAAGAGAACTGTGTACTACTTTCCTGTGAAGCAAGAGATGCTAAAAGATGAGCCATCATGTCTGCTTATGAAAATATGCACCTCAGCCAATTCTAATTGCTGTTCATACACACTGATTCTAAGGCAGTCTGTGTTTTAAACCTTTGCCTGTGTTAGTTTCTAGAAGAAAAAGGGTCTTACTAAAGACTTTGGTAACTAGATATTTCAAGTGAACTCTCTTATGTAATTCTTTGATGAAGGATGTTTGTAGCTCAGTTAAAAAAAAGGATTTGGAAAATATTGCTCTAATAATTAAAAACTTACTGTGAATCTTTTTACTATTCATTTACATTTTAGGTTATTAATAAAGAGATAGATTGTAAAGTAACTGGAATCTCAAATCTAGAAGAGGAAGCCAAGTCTTTTTCCCAGTTTGTTACCTCTGGAGAACACGCACATATTAAAGCCAAACTGACTCAAGTCAAAAGGTATTGGGAAGAGCTAAGAGATCATGCACAGAGACTGGAAGAAACAATCACAGGGAATGCATCAGCACAGCAGAAATATGAAGAAAATCTTAAACAGGTAGACTATGCAAATCTAATGGATTGTTTGCAGCAATTTATAGAACTACTCTTTATTTTCCAAAATGGAATAAAAAATGCCTATTATAATAGGATGGACTAAAATAAATAAGGAGATTTCTGAAGTAATTGCAAGACCTAGATACATAAATTTGTGCTTTGAGTTACCTGAAAGGCAGCTTCAGAAAGACACTAAAATATATACACTAAAAAATTATGTTGTTTTCTAGAAAACCTTGGTGATTCCCCTGGGTATTGCACTATTGAACCACATCCATACATGTTATAAACACTTTAACTTCTATGTTTGGTTAATAGTTAGTATAAGATTGTAAGGAAAATAATTTAAATATTATTATTGACCCAGCCAGGAGGAACTGAGCACTGTTAGCATCCTTTAACTTCAAAAGGCACTCTGCACTACAAATGCTTTGGATATAAAATTCTCATAGCAGCAAACATTTTAAAGGTGTTATTTAAAGAATCATTTATGTAATTCCTGCTGGTTTTAGCTTCTGGTTTGCCTTTTTTTTCATAGGTGCAGCAGTCAGTGTGTGAATTTGAAGCTAAGCTAGCTGAGCCTCTCACATCGTGCTCTTCAGCAGCAGCAACGTACGCAGCCCTTCAGGATTGCACGGTGAGCGTGTGGCCAGCAGTTCCTGGCACTGATCCAGAGACATGGTGCCACTCTGACCTTTCAGAAATGCCAGTAGCCCCAGACCAGGGGGGTTGGGACAAAGGCAGAAGCAGGCAAGGGCTTCCTGTCTGGGTGGGCAGACCCAGGGAAGATTTAAGTACTTCCTTAGCTATTTCTTGTCACCATTTCAAATAGGCTTCAGAAAGTTTCTTTCCCAGTCTAGGGGGAAGGACTAAAAGTACCACTTAATCCCTCAGGTAATTGGTTTTAACTTCATGCATATCAAACATGGAAAACAGAAGATAAGAAACAATTCTATTAGATGTTTTTCCTTGAAGGTTTTCATGAAACTTGGATTTTGATGAATCTAACTCTATGATTAAAGAAAATGCATGCTTGGGAGCAATTTTGCTTGGGTAATGCAGAGACTGGACGGAGTTTCAACTTAGAAACTTCTGTGCTTGAAAGTAGAAATCAGTGGGTGTTTGGAAAACTTGTTCCATTCATTGYAAAAGGAAAATAAATAATGGATTAGTATTCAAACTACAAATAATCCCATCTCAGGGAATTTGGTGTAGTATTTTTGTTTTTAAGTTCTGATATGATTTTCCAACAATAATCATTGCCTTTCTAAGAAAATACTACAAAATTTTTTTTTCATATTATTCTTTCAGCAAAATGCATATAATTTCTTGTGAACTTAGTGATAACTGCTTGCAAAGGCTCCCTTTTCAAGGGAAACCTGACCTGTCTGCTTCAAAAAAGCTTGATACTAGTTAAGGAAGATTATTTTGCATATGGAGAATTTATTTAGACAGCACCAGTATTTTTGGCTTTTAAACATTATGAATATGCTGAGTAGGCTGTTAAAAGGTCTTATTCTCTTTAGGGGATCAGGATGATTGAATATCTTAATGAGAAATTACCAGCAGCTTGTTCCTGTGTAACTCACATTTCCTCCTATATATGATTTCTTGTAATTATAACCATTACAACTGTAATTGCTATTACTGTTACTATCATTGTTACTATTACAATTGCACACCTGTGAATTGCAACTTTTGTGGTCTTAAATCCATTTCATTTCACTATGCTACATTTAGATCTTTTTCCTGTAGACAAATTTCCCAGTTTTCTAGATGCAGCAACACTGGAAAATCTAGACACCAGTAGATGCCATTTCTATGAAAAGGACCTTTAGCTGACAGGAATTCTGAGTAATTCTTCCCTATTTCTCCCATGTCATGCCATTGGCTGCAAGTCTGGCAGCCCTCACATGTTCAGGTGAGGGTTTGGGTTTGTATAAATTAGAGTTGATGTTTGGGAATTTTGAGCTTTTTTCTGAATTTTGGTCTTGGTCCTCTATGGATAATGCTATGTCACATGCCCATTCAGAAGATCTGACTCTTTTGCTGCTGAGTTTTTTCTTCAGCACTGTTCCTAGGGAAGTCTTTTGTCTACCAGTTTGTTCACTGATACGCTTGGAACTCGTGTATCTAGGGTGGACCTGAGCAATATCTGAGCTATGARGTGACTTCATGATCTGATGGATGTGGCATCGCTTCAAACTTGCGAGTAGAACTACAGAATTTTTCCCACCATTGTTACCATACATCTGTTGTTTATATATGTGACTTCTGTTTGTTTTACATGTTCACTAGGACCTTTGTCACACTGTGGAAAAACTGAGCAGCCCTCTGGCCTCTCTCTCAGCCAGTGCCCGAAAGGT